GAGAGGCTAGCACAGGCCGACACCTGGCTACGTTTACTTGTCAGCCGGGGTCGAGCCTGTACACACTGACCACTGCGTCTCCTCCAGTTGTTGAGTCTGGTAGGGTCGCTGCGTCGGGTCTGGTGTTTGCTGCAGCGTCCAGGTCTGGTCCTGAGTCTGCCCCCTGTTCGTGTCGTCTCCTGTCTCACGAGACTCTCCTCTGGCACCACCGCCTTGGGCACCCCTCTCTGCTTCGGCTCAGAGGCATGGCCTCCCGTCTTCTTGTTTATGGTCTCCCTCGGTCCCTCCCTCCCCTTCCTTAGGGCCGTGGCCCTACCTGTGTCCCCTGTGTCGAGGGGCGCCAGCGGGCTGCCCCTCACTCCTCCCAGTTTCCTCCGACAGAGGCCCCGTTGCAGACGCTTCACATGGACGTGTGGGGCCCAGCCCGCGTCCGTGGACAGGGTCACGAGCGCTACTTCCTGCTCGTTGTTGATGACTACTCGCGTTACACCGCAGTCTTCCCCTTGCGCAGCAAGGGTGACGTCACTGAGGTGCTGATCCACTGGATCCACGCAGCTCGTCTCCAGCTCAGGCAGAGCTTTTGCTCGGACTTTCCTGTTCTGCGTCTTCACTCGGACAGAGGCGGAGAGTTTTCTTCTGGCCTTCTGAGAGCCTACTGTCGCGCACGAGGAATCCGTCAGACCTTCACGCTTCCGGACTCCCCACAGCAAAATGGGATTGCTGAGCGCCGCATTGGCATGGTCATGGACGTCGCTCGTACGTCTATGATGCATGCGGCTGCTCCCCATTTTCTGTGGCCGTTTGCGGTGAGGTACGCGGCGCATCAGATCAACCTACACCCTAGGGTCTCCACGTCGGAGACCTCCCCAGCCTTGCTGTGGACGGGGAAGGTTGGCGATGCGTCGGCGTTCCGGGTCTGGGGATCTCGGGCGTTTGTCCGCGACTTGTCTGCGGACAAGCTGTCCCCTCGTGCTGCTTCTTGCGTCTTCCTAGGGTTCCCCCCTGACGCGCCTCGGTGGCAGTTCTACCACCCCACCTCTCGCCGTGTTCTGTCCTCCCAGGACGTCACGTTTGACGAGTCGGTCCCCTACTACCGCCTCTTCCCCTACCGCACTCCATCCCTCCCCCCGCCGCCGCTCTTCCTTGTACCAGGTCCCCCTCCGGTAGACCCCCTCCCCCCTCAGGGTCCGTCCCCTTCAGGTGTGTCCCAGGTAGACGCAGTCGAGCCTGTCGAGGTCACTGGTGACTCTAGTGCTGCTGAGGGTGCTGAGCATGGGGGTGCTGACTCTGGGGGTACTAAGCCTGGGGGTGCTGAGCCTGGGGGTGCTGCGACTGGGGGTGCTGAGCCTGGGGGTGCTGAGCCTGGGGGTGCTGCGACTGGGGGTGCTGAGCCTGGGAGTGCTGAGCCTGGGGGTGCTGAGCCTGGGGGTGCTGAGTCTGAGGGTGCTGAGCCTGGGGGTGCTGAGCTTGGAGGTGCTCCGCCTGGAGGTTCTCCGGGTGCTTCGTCTCTGCGGGAGCCACTCTCTCCACGGGAGCTGCGCGAGTGGTTTGCCCGGCGCTGGAGGCGTGCTGCTGGTTCTGGAGGTTCTTCGGCTACTAAGGGTGCTGCTGTCGCGGGTCCCGGAGGTGCTCGTACTGGGAGTACTGGAGCTGTCGCGCCTGCGGGTTTGACTGGAGCTGGTGCTGCTAAGGGTGTTGGAGCTGAGACTACTGCTGGCGGTCCTGCTGCGGGTACTCCTGGTACTGCTGGAGGTTCTGGCGCTGCTGGAGGTGCAGCTGGAGTGGGTGCTCCTGCTGGGGGTCCTGGTGCTGTACCTGCTGTGTCTGGCGTCGCCGCGCGGCCTCGACCGTACTTCGTTCCACTCCTACAGCAGGTTCTTGGTCTTCCGCCTTCTACTGGTCCTCCTCCTTCTTTAGAGTGTCCACAGCCAGTCCCGTCACAGTTACAGTTGCAGCCTACCTCCCCTTTGCCTGCTCCTTCTCCCTACACTGGTCCTACTGGAGGTCATACTGAGCGTCGTGAGCCTGCGTCTCGCCCTGCGTCGCCTGTTCGTGCTGCTCGCGCTAGTGGTCGTGGTTCGCGTCAGCGTCCTCCTCCTGTCCCTGGCACGCACAGGATGTCTCTGCGTCCGTCCACTGCTCCTCTGCGTGCCCCTTAGCCTTCTCCTCCTGAGTCCTCTCTTTCTGCTTTTGCCGACCCTGAGTCGGACTCTCTTCGTGCTGCCAGTCCTACTGTCACGCGTCTCCTGGCTACTGTCGTCACTGACCCTTCTTTCGAGTCCACGGTTGCGTCTGCCCTAGTTGCTGAGCTCGTCGACTTTGCTGCTCGCTGTCGCCTAGACTACACTGCTAGTCTTGTCGCTGAGTCTAAGTCTGTCTGTCCTCCGTCCGTCGGGGGTGAGTGTGCCCTTGGCACGGACGTCCTTGAGGACAGGCAGGAGGAGTTCCAGTGCTTGGCCGCTGCTTCACCTCATCTCTTGTCCGTACTGCTTACCCCTGAGGGAGACCCGGATGCACTTGACATCCCGACTCCGCGCTCTTACGCGGAGGCGATAGAGGGTCCCTACTCTTCTCAGTGGCAGGCAGCTATGGATGCAGAGATGGCTTCCTGGAAGTCCACAGGCACCTACGTTGACGCTGTCCCCCCTCCTGGGGCGAACATCGTCAGTGGCATGTGGATCTTCAGGGTGAAGCGGCCGCTGGGTTCTCCGCCTGTCTTCAAGGCGCGTTACGTGGCTCGTGGCTTCAGTCAGCGGCAGGGAGTTGACTATTTTCAGACCTTCTCTCCCACCCCGAAGATGACCACTCTTCGGGTACTGCTGCACGTTGCTGCTCACCGTGACTACGAGCTGCACTCTCTCGACTTCAGCACAACTTTCTTGCAGGGCAGCCTGCACGAGGAGATCTGGCTGCGTCGCCCACCTGGCTTCACTGGGTCTTTCCCTCCTGGTACCTAGTGGAGTCTCCGGCGTCCAGTCTACGGTCTTCGCCAGGCGCCACGTGAGTGGCACGACACACTGCGGACTACGCTTGCGGCTCTTGGGTTTGCTCCTTCTACTGCCGACCTGTCGCTGTTTCTGCGCACCGACACTTCTCTGCCGCCGTTCTACATCCTCGTGTACGTCGACGACTTGGTCTTTGCCACAGCTGACACTGCTGGACTCGCCTACGTGAAGTCCGAGCTGCAGAAGAGACACACGTGCACAGACCTGGGTGAACTGCGCAGCTACCTTGGCTTGCAGATCACCCGGGACAGAGCACGCCGCACCATTACCCTGACTCAGTCACACATGGTGCAGCAGGTCCTTCAGCGCTTCGGCTTCACGTACTCCTCGCCTCAGGCCACTCCTCTGCCTACTCGCCACTCGCTCTCAGCTCTGCCTTCGGATGAGTCCGTAGAGTCGAGTGGCCCGTATCCAGAGCTTGTTGGCTGCCTCATGTACCTGATGACCTGCACACGACCTGACCTTGCATACCCTCTTAGCATTCTCGCACGCTATGTTGCTCCTGGGAGACACCGACCAGAGCACATGGCTGCAGCGAAGAGGGTGTTGCGCTACTTGTGCAGTACGTCGGGCATGGGGCTAGTGCTTGGAGGGTGGAGTCCAGTGGTCCTCACTGGGCATGCGGACGCTTCTTGGGCTGACGACCAGGCTACGCAGCGGTCGTCACAGGGTTACACCTTCAGCCTTGGTTCCGGCTCTGTTTCGTGGCGGGCTACTCGCTCGTCTTCTGTTCTCGGCTCCAGTTGTGAGGCTGAGATCTACGCTGGGGCCATGGCTGCACAGGAGCTTCGCTGGCTCACCTACCTACTGACCGACCTTGGAGAGTCGCCTCGTTCTCCTCCAGTCCTGTACGTAGACAACAAGGCCATGCTGGCCTTGTGTCGAGAGCAGAGACTGGAGCACAGAACGAAGCACATTGCTCTTCGCTACTTCCTTGCTCGTGAGCTACAGCAGCGTGGTTAGTTGCGGCTTGCGTACGTGGCCTCTGAGGCCAACACTGCTGATGTCTTCACCAAGGCACTTGCGCCTTGTGATCATCAGCGCTTCTGCATGCAGCTGGGTCTTGTGCCTGTCTTGCCTCACTTGCTCACCTCTTGACCTTGCTTGTACTGTTGCATATATATACACCTGCTCTTGCTTGTCTAGTCCTTTATATACATGTACTCCTGCATGTGAACTGGCCTTGTGGCCTTGAACTTGTGCTCTGAATGTGTGGTGACTTTGTGATCCACCCTGAGCTTGCTTTGCTTTGTTTTGCTTGACTGGTCTTGTGACTCCTTGTTCTCCCCCACTTTGCCTATGGGGGTGTGTCAGAACATATAGCTTGTGCTTATTGTGTAGGCTATAGTGGGGTAGCCCATAATGGGTACAACCCAATTAGGGTTAGTACTTGTACTCAGTTCATTCATAGTTCATTCATTCTCGTTTCTTCTCAATCTGGTACGGAACGATGTCTTGTGGATCGAGTTGTCCGCCATCTTGATCTGCCAGTATCCTGGAAGTTGGTCTAGTAGGTCGTCTATGCGCGGTATGGGGTATTTGTTTTTTAGTGTCTGTTTGTTCAAAGCGAGGCAATCACACATCAAATTCTGTACGTTTTTCCGATCCGTTCAGATTGAAACGAAGGAAAAAGGACCCGCCCTCATAACCCGCAGATCCGTGCCGATCACTTGGTTACGAGTCAAACTGTTGTCGCCACACCGCCATCGTTCGCGAATAAGCTCACCCATCAGTCCCTCGCGTCACACACCATCCTTGCATTTTCGAGTCGAGCCCTCTCTCGACCCAAGTTCCTCGCTAGTTTCCTCTTCTCATTTGACTCGCCGGCCTGTTGAGCTAGTTTGGTGGGGTCAGGTGGGGTAGGTAAAGCAGGCCGTGCCGTCCGTCTATCCAGTGCTTGCTTCAACAAGCGGTATTTGGAGAAAAGGGAGGCAACGGACTTCAGAACTCCGTGCTTGTCGAACTTGACGCTCGCGCGTCCTAATTTAGGCCGTAATGGTTAGTTGCTAACCTTATCCAGACCGTCCGTGCGTGATTCCTTTATTTTGTTTTCTTTTTTCCTAATGCTGATCTTGACTCTAGCGGCAAGTTCGCCGGTTTTGATTTTTTATTCTCATTGGTTACTTTCCAACCCTAAATTACTACTCCGCCTAGGACCCCTTGCGATTTCATCTGTCTCTGTATCTGTTTGTACCTCGTCTTCTCTCGTTTCTCTCGATCCCCTCGTTTGTCGCAGGGTCGGAAGTTTCTGTGCATTCTGCTGATCGCGATTCTTGTCGCGGCCAGTTTCCACGTGTCTGAATGCAAGAAGAAGAAGAAAAAGCGGACAGTAGCGACGGAACCAGCACTTGACGAAAGCGAAACCACCACAGTGGTAACCCGATCTGCAACGAAAACGGCAGCAGCAGGCGAAACAGCGTCGCAGAATGACGAACCAGCTGCGGACGCGGCAGCAGCCGACGAAGACGCAGACGCCGACGCGCCTTCGGAAACTATTCCCCCGAGGAAGCCGGCAGCCACTATAACGCCGGCTACTAAGGCGGCGGCTGCTACGGCGGCAGATGCGGAGGAAGATGCGGAAGTAGCGGAAGCCGCTTCGACAGCTGATGCTGACGTGGCGACGAAGGGCGACGACGCCGATGGCGACGCGGCTGAGGCTGACGCCGCCGCAGATGCCGCCGAGCCGGACGCCGCGGATGCCGCTGCGGAAGACGGCGCAGCGGCAAAGGCGGCGACAGGCAAGCCAGTCGCGGCGGACGACGATGCCGCTGCAGCTGATGCGGAAGGCACGGAAGAGGCGGAAGGCGCTGCGGCTGGTGGGACCACAGACGACGCGGCTGCGGGTGGTACTGCGACTGCAGCAGCGGCGGCGACGGCGGCGGCGGCGGAGAAGCCGAGTTCGGCTCCTGGGTCCGTGTCCGATGCTGGCCCTCTTGCATGGAAATCCGCTAATATGTCGCGCGACGACATTGATCCCAAAGGTGAGACGACGAGTTTTGAGACGTCCCAAACTGGGCTGCTCGCATGGGAATTCGCATCGCCAGCAGCATGTTGCGAAAGAGACGTGGACCTCAAATGTGAGTCGGGCTGCTCGAATGGGACTTCGGCAACATGTCGTGAGACGACGTGGATCCCAGAGGTGAGGACGTGGATCCCAGAGACGAGACGACTAGATTAGAGACGTGCGAGAACTGGATCCCCCAACAGGTTGCGCGACGACGTGGATCCCAAAGGTGGGCCCCTGCTGACCGTAAAGCGATTGGGGGGTTACGCATTTGACTTGGCTGGTTGCTGTGGGCGGGTATCCATGCAGTGGGGCCAGACAGAACAAGAAGTTGCCAGCACGAAGCAAAAACACTTTAATTGCCACCACTTCGCCATGGCAAACACGAATGGCATTCGATAATTACATCCAACACCCACATGGATACTACACCCCGCTCCCCCTTCCAGGCCCATGTGGGCGCGACTCCAAGTTCCGCTGCCTGCCAGGGCATGGGTCCGGGGAACGCGGGCTGGGTTTGCTGTGCTTGTTAGTTGCGTCATGGCATCTACGTGGTTATTCAATCCCCTCTACGTGGTTATTCAATCCCCTCTACGTGGTTATTCAATCCCCTCTACGTGGTTATTCAATCCCCTCTACGTGGTTATTCAATCCCCTCTACGTGGTTATTCAATCCCCTCTACGTGGTTATTCAATCCCCTCTACGTGGTTATTCAATCCCCTCTACGTGGTTATTCAATCCCCTCTACGTGGTTATTCAATCCCCTCTACGTGGTTATTCAATCCCCTCTACGTGGTTATTCAATCCCCTCTACGTGGTTATTCAATCCCCTCTACGTGGTTATTCAATCCCCTCTACGTGGTTATTCAATCCCCTCTACGTGGTTATTCAATCCCCTCTACGTGGTTATTCAATCCCCTCTACGTGGTTATTCAATCCCCTCTACGTGGTTATTCAATCCCCTCTACGTGGTTATTCAATCCCCTCTACGTGGTTATTCAATCCCCTCTACGTGGTTATTCAATCCCCTCTACGTGGTTATTCAATCCCCTCTACGTGGTTATTCAATCCCCTCTACGTGGTTATTCAATCCCCTCTACGTGGTTATTCAATCCCCTCTACGTGGTTATTCAATCCCCTCTACGTGGTTATTCAATCCCCTCTACGTGGTTATTCAATACCCTCTACGTGGTTATTCAATCCCCTCTACGTGGTTATTCAATACCCTCTACGTGGTTATTCAATCCCCTCATACGTGGTTATTCAATCCCCTCTACGTGGTTATTCAATACCCTCTACGTGGTTATTCAATACCCTCTACGTGGTTATTCAATACCCTCTACGTGGTTATTCAATACCCTCTACGTGGTTATTCAATCCCCTCTACGTGGTTATTCAATCCCCTCTACGTGGTTATTCAATACCCTCTACGTGGTTATTCAATACCCTCTACGTGGTTATTCAATCCCCTCTACGTTGTTATTCAATCCCCTCTACGTGGTTATTCAATACCCTCTACGTGGTTATTCAATACCCTCTACGTGGTTATTCAATCCCCTCTACGTGGTTATTCAATCCCCTCTACGTGGTTATTCAATCCCCTCTACGTGGTTATTCAATACCCTCTACGTGGTTATTCAATCCCCTCTACGTGGTTATTCAATCCCCTCTACGTGGTTATTCAATCCCCTCTACGTGGTTATTCAATCCCCTCTACGTGGTTATTCAATCCCCTCTACGTGGTTATTCAATCCCCTCTACGTGGTTATTCAATCCCCTCTACGTGGTTATTCAATCCCCTCTACGTGGTTATTCAATCCCCTCTACGTGGTTATTCAATCCCCTCTACGTGGTTATTCAATCCCCTCTACGTGGTTATTCAATCCCCTCTACGTGGTTATTCAATCCCCTCTACGTGGTTATTCAATCCCCTCTACGTGGTTATTCAATCCCCTCTACGTGGTTATTCAATCCCCTCTACGTGGTTATTCAATCCCCTCTACGTGGTTATTCAATCCCCTCTACGTGGTTATTCAATCCCCTCTACGTGGTTATTCAATCCCCTCTACGTGGTTATTCAATCCCCTCTACGTGGTTATTCAATCCCCTCTACGTGGTTATTCAATCCCCTCTACGTGGTTATTCAATCCCCTCTACGTGGTTATTCAATCCCCTCTACGTGGTTATTCAATCCCCTCTACGTGGTTATTCAATCCCCTCTACGTGGTTATTCAATCCCCTCTACGTGGTTATTCAATCCCCTCTACGTGGTTATTCAATCCCCTCTACGTGGTTATTCAATCCCCTCTACGTGGTTATTCAATCCCCTCTACGTGGTTATTCAATCCCCTCTACGTGGTTATTCAATACCCTCTACGTGGTTATTCAATCCCCTCTACGTGGTTATTCAATACCCTCTACGTGGTTATTCAATCCCCTCTACGTGGTTATTCAATCCCCTCTACGTGGTTATTCAATACCCTCTACGTGGTTATTCAATACCCTCTACGTGGTTATTCAATACCCTCTACGTGGTTATTCAATACCCTCTACGTGGTTATTCAATCCCCTCTACGTGGTTATTCAATCCCCTCTACGTGGTTATTCAATACCCTCTACGTGGTTATTCAATACCCTCTACGTGGTTATTCAATCCCCTCTACGTGGTTATTCAATCCCCTCTACGTGGTTATTCAATACCCTCTACGTGGTTATTCAATACCCTCTACGTGGTTATTCAATCCCCTCTACGTGGTTATTCAATCCCCTCTACGTGGTTATTCAATCCCCTCTACGTGGTTATTCAATACCCTCTACGTGGTTATTCAATCCCCTCTACGTGGTTATTCAATCCCCTCTACGTGGTTATTCAATACCCTCTACGTGGTTATTCAATCCCCTCTACGTGGTTATTCAATCCCCTCTACGTGGTTATTCAATACCCTCTACGTGGTTATTCAATCCCCTCTACGTGGTTATTCAATACCCTCTACGTGGTTATTCAATCCCCTCTACGTGGTTATTCAATCCCCTCTACGTGGTTATTCAATCCCCTCTACGTGGTTATTCAATCCCCTCTACGTGGTTATTCAATCCCCTCTACGTGGTTATTCAATCCCCTCTACGTGGTTATTCAATCCCCTCTACGTGGTTATTCAATCCCCTCTACGTGGTTATTCAATCCCCTCTACGTGGTTATTCAATCCCCTCTACATGGTTATTCAATACCCTCTACGTGGTTATTCAATCCCCTCTACGTGGTTACTCAATACCCTCTACGTGGTTACTCAATACCCTCTACGTGGTTATTCAATCCCCTCTACGTGGTTATTCAATCCCCTCTACGTGGTTATTCAATACCCTCTACGTGGTTATTCAATCCCCTCTACGTGGTTATTCAATACCCTCTACGTGGTTTCCCCTCTCCCCGCCAGGCCCGTGTCGCCGCGACATCAAGCTGCACTGCCAGGGCGTGGAGCCGGGCAACGCGGTGCTGTCGCTGTGCCTCACCTTCCACGTCAAGAATGAGAAGTCGGGCAACGAGCTCGGGGGTGAGTGAGCGCGTGTCAGTAAGCTGGGGGGTGAGTTGAGGGAAGGGAACCAACTGGTGACAGTTTCTGGTCTGATCGTTTTGTCATGTCATCCGTCTCGTCTCTGCCCACCTCCCTTCCACACAACCTGCTTTGCTTGTGTGTGCCGGCTCCTGTCTGCATCTGCATATCCGTGTGCCCGCATGTGCATGAGCATGAGCATCAGCATGAGCATGAGCATGTGCATGAGCATGAGCATGAGCATGAGCATGAGCATGAGCATGAGCATGTGCATGAGCATGAGCATGAGCATGAGCATGAGCATGTGCATGAGCATGAGCATGAGCATGAGCATGCTGCTGCGTCACCCATGCAACCCTTGGGTTCCATATTCTGACTTAAATCATTGGTTGCTTGCCCGACGCGGTCATGTCATCTGTGCTGCTGCTGCTGCTGTGGTGCCGTGGCATGGCAGGCCCCAAGGTATCCAAGAAGTGCAAGAAGGACGTGCGCGCGTTCAGGGCGGAGATGTACAAGGACCTCAGCATGGACAAGGCATTGGGTGAGTGCTTCCCTTGCTTTGTTGCATAACAAGGCGTGCTTGCTTGTATCGGTTTACCTCAGCATGGACAAGGCGCTCGGTGAGTGCTTCCCATGCTTTGTGAAACATGGCCGGCCAGCTTGTATCGTAGTATTGGCTTTTGTCTTTATTTGCGCTCAGGGCCGAGATGTACAAGACAAGGGTCTCAGCTCAGATTCTCAGCAGGGACAAGGCGCTGGGTGAGTGCTCATTGCTCCTCATGCTTTGCTGCAGAACACGGCTTGCTTGTATCGGTTCCCATTCTATCGTGTTCAGGGCCGGCCGAGGTGTGCAAGGATCTCAGCATGGACGATGAGCTGGGGGAGTGCTTTCATGTTGTGTGTAGAACAAGGCGTGCTTATATCGCGTCACATCCAGGCTCGAGATGCACAAGGACACCAGCATGGACAAGGGGCGCTGGATGAGTGCTTCTTCTTTGTGGAACAAGCCAGCCTAGCTGCCATCGGCTGTCGTCTTAACCTTGTCCTTCCGTTTCTCTCCTGATCTGTTTGTCTGCCTGCCTGTCTGCCTGCCTGCCTGCCTGCCTGCCTGCCTGCCTGCCTGCCTGCCTGCCTGCCTGCCTGCCTGCCTGCCTGCCTGCCTGCCTGCCTGCCTGCCTGCCTGCCTGCCTGCCTGCCTGCCTGCCTGCCTGCCTGCCTGCCTGCCTGCCTGCCTGCCTGCCTGCCTGCCTGCCTGTCTGCCTGCCTGTCTGTCTGTCTTTCTGCCTTCCCTGGTGGTTGCCCGCGCTGTGTGCGTGCGTGTGTGCGTGCGTGTGTGTGTGCATGTGCGATTCTCTCTGCACTGCACGCACATGGCATGGCATGGGAGCAGCAACGGCATGCAAGGCGGACATCACCAAGTTCTGTGATGACGACTTCCTCTACCCCGAGCCCGGCAACGTCGTTGCCTGCCTCAGGTGCGCCTCTCCTCTCCTCTCCTCTCCTCTCCGCTCCTCTCCATTCATTGGATACCCATGTCCCAGTTTGCTTTGAGTTGTCGCAGAGCGGGCAGTACCCACTCGGGCGGTTTTGTGACAAGTTCTGTGATGATGCCATGACTTGCTCTGTACCAAGGGCCCGGCAGCGTTGTGTTGTGACCGACACGAGTCGGGCAGAGGTGCTGTAATGCTCTAAACCCTCGCCTCGCCTCCCTCCCCCCGCACTCCCCTCGCCTCCCTCCCTCCTTCCACCTTCCCCTCCCATTCCCCCCACACTGCCCCCACTCCCCTCCCCCAGGGAGGTGAACTGGATGGAGAAGCTGGCAGACGATTGCTGGGCGGAGGTGCTGCGATGTTCCCAACCCAACGTCTTCAACCTTTCTCTCCCACCAACCCACCCACTTAACCCATCCTCTTCTTCCCCCCATTCCCCCCTCCACGCTCTTCCCTCCCAGGGAGGTGAACCAGGTGGAGAAGCTGGCGGACGAGTGCCGGGCGGAGGTGCTGAGGGCGCAGCTGGAGGCGGCGGAGGATTTCAAGATGGACCCGCAGCTCAACCAGCTCTGCTCTGCCGAGGCTGACCGCCTCTGCAAGGGCGTCGAGCCGGGGGAAGGGCGCGTTCAGGAGTGCCTGGTGGGTGCCTTGTGCTTATGGGAGGGCTTGATGGGTTGGTGGTGCTTGGTTTGGTGGATTGGTGGTGCTTGGTGGGTTGGTGGTGTTTGGTTTGGTGGGTTGGTGGTGCTTGGTGGGTTGGTGGCGCTTTGGAGAGTGCCTGGTGGGAGGGAGGATGGTGCGTGCTGAGTGGCTGGCGCATGTGATGAGAGTATTTTCGCCACCTCAGTAGCGTGCTATCAAACTCAGCAATGCACGTTCCTTCTCTCACTCCTCTTCTTTCCCCCACTCTTACCACCTTCTCTCCCCTCGCCCCCCCCAACCCTTCCCGACCCTCCGGCCCTCTCTGCACTTTCCAAGCAACTCATCAACCTGCCCTGATCTGCCAGGCAGATAAATTTCTTAGTCAAAAGTCACCTCATCCCGCCCTCCCCCCGCACCCTCCTCCCGCCCTCTTCCCACACTGAATGCGCCCTCGCCCTGCTCTGCTAGGCGGGTCAATTTCTTAATCGTAAAAAAAAACACCTCTTCCTGCCCTCCTCCCACCCCCCACTCCTCCCACCCCCCACCCACTCCTCCCGCCCCCCTCCAACCCTCTTCCCACCCTCCTACCGCCCTCCCTGCCTCCTCCCGCCCTCCTCCTGCCCTCCTCCCGCCCTCCTCCCCTCCTCCCCGCCCTCGCCTCTCCCCTCTACCCCCTCCCGCTCCCCCCACTCTCACCGCAGAGAGAGCACCGAGCGCAGCTGGCGTGGGACTGTCAGGCGGAGCTGTTTCGGCAGGAGGTGGAGAACGCGGGGGACATCCGCCTCAACGTGCGCCTCTTCCAGGCGTGCCTCAACGACCAGCGCCGCTTCTGTGCCGACGTCAAGTACGGCGATGCGCGCGTCAAAGACTGCCTGGAGGACCACCGCCTCGACCCCGACTTCTCGCCCTCGTGGTCAGTGCCTGCCTGCCATTGCTTTGAACATGTGCCAAAACGTGACCTTGCTGCTGCATCACCTCTCTTTACCCCTCCCACATCCCCCCCACCCCCCACCCGTTCCCCCCCCTCCTCCCCTTTCCCCTTTCCTGCATTTCTCCACGAAGCTTGTGTTTCCTTCTGCTATCTCCATGCTACCCCCACCGTCCTCCCATCTCTTCTTCCACGCCCATGGTTGGTCGCAACAAGTCGGTGATTGAGAAACGGTTGGCGAGGCGGGCCACTGATTTCTTTCTGTGCTATTCCCGGGTTTAAACCTCCCTCTCTCTAACCGCCCCTCTTGCCAACTGTCCCTCTCCTTCTCCCCTCTCGCCCTCCCCCTTTTTGCTCCCCCGTTTGCTGGCTGGCAGCAAGACGGAGTTTGAGCAGATGATGGCGCGGCGCGCCACTGACTTCCGCCTCGACGCAAATCTGCGCAAATACTGCAAGGGGGACATTGCAGAGGTGAGTGAGGGGGATATTGCGGAGGTGAGGGGGACATTGCGGAGGTGAGGGGGACATTGCGGAGGTGAGGAGAGTGGAAGGGAAAGCACCCGAAGACTGCTTGCCGCTGCTTACGGACAGGGAGCGATTTGGAGGACTCACTCTCTCTCCTTTCTCCCCACTCGCCTCTCTCCCGTCGCACCTTTCCCCTCATCCATCGTCCTTTCCCCTTCCCTCCTCTCCCCTGCCCCTCACTCCCTTGTCCCCCGCCCCATCTCCCCTTCGGTCCTCGCCCGTCGCCCCTTAACTCAACCCTCGCCCCCTCCCCCCATCGCCCTATCGCCCCCTCACCCCCTCCCCCCATCGCTCCCTCACCCCCTCTACCCATCGCCCCCTCCCTCCATCGCCCCTCCCTCCATCGCCCCCTCTCCCCCTCCCCCCGTCGCCCCCTCCCCCCATCGCCCCCGCTCCCCATCGCCCCCTCCCCCCGTCGCCCCCTCGCCCCTCAACCCTCGCCCGTCCACCCCTGCTGCCCTTCCTCTCCTCACAGATCTGCTGCCCTTCCTCTCCTCACAGATCTGCTGCCCTTCCTCTCCTCACAGATCTGCTGCCCTTCCTCTCCTCACAGATCTGCTGCCCTTCCTCTCCTCACAGATCTGCTGCCCTTCCTCTCCTCACAGATCTGCTGCCCTTCCTCTCCTCACAGATCTGCTGCCCTTCCTCTCCTCACAGATCTGCTGCCCTTCCTCTCCTCACAGATCTGCTGCCCTTCCTCTCCTCACAGATCTGCTACCCAGACGCGGAGGACATATCGGACGTGGCGAATTTCGATGCCAAGGTGATCGAGTGTCTGCAGGACTACCGGGAGGAGCTCAAGGACCCCAAGTGCAAGGCCGCCGTGCACCGCCTCACCGCCCGCGCTGCTGAGAGCATCCGCTTTGATCGGCCCCTGGCTGACGCCTGTCACGGTGAGTGCTGCTAGTGCTGCTAGGCCTGCTAGGCCTGCTACAGTAGGTGAGTGGTGGTGTGGTGGGGGACTGACTGACTGCAGGGACGAGCTCAAAGTCCTTCTTTGACGTACAGGTGAGGGAGCGCGTTTTGTTGTTGTGAGGTGTGGGACAGGAGGGAGGATCCTTGTCCGGTGCTGCGATGTAGGTCTGACCCTGACCTGACATAGTGAGTGAGAGTGCTGGCTGGTGTGGTGAATGGTGGTGAGTGGACGAGCTCAAGAACCCCAAGTGCACTGAGACGTCTCAACACACTAGTTTGATCAAGTGCAAGGCTGCTGTGCTGTGCACCGCCTCACCGAGCTTGCTGCTGAGAGCATCCGCTCTGACCACCTGCTGGCAGACGACCTGCCACGGTGGGTGCAGCAATGCAAGGCCTCCTGCCCTGGCAGGTGCCTGCTATGCTGAGTGCTCTGCTCTGGTGTGGCAGTTGCTCAAGTAAACCAACCTGTTCCATTTTCCTTACGCTCACCTCCCCTCCCCTGCAGAGCTTAGTGGGAATACACGCGAATCGTATATACGCTAACGTATATTCACTAAACGCTTAAGGGTCGATTTGGTTACGCTTTTTCGGGCAGGTGAAAAATTATCTCGGGCAGTGTGAAAAAACGTCGTGCTCAACATTGGGAAGGTGTTCCCTATTCTCACTAAGACTTTCGTAGCATTTCCCTGAGTCTGAACGGCGATTGGGGTGGGATGTGGAGTAGACACTAGAAGGAGAAGTAGGTAGGAATCGGAAGAAGCTCTGCTGTTAGGAAGCGGGAACGTCAACTAGAAATGACGACTGGAATTTTGCTGGCTGTTAAGTAACGTGAGTGGGGTTTGGTGGGGGACATTTTTGACAGGTTGGAGTTCGTTGATAAGATGGGTTTCAATGCGGTACTAATCTAATTTTCAAATTTGAACTGCCTGCAATCTTCGAAGGCACATTCGCGCTTCCCTAAACCATCGAAATGCATTTCGACTTTGGCGAAATGCTCAGCAGAACATTCCGCATCTTTCTGTATACAAGCGATTTTTTACTCGGGCAGCCCGAAAAACTTTCTGATAGCGTATAGCGTACTAGCTAGCGTATCGCGTTTTGCGTACACACGCTAGCGTATATACGCTATACGCTTTAGGGTTTGAGCGTATATTCCCACTAAGCTGTAGAGGACCGCACGACCATGTGCCGGGGTGTGCGAGCTTGCCGCAGGTGTTTCTGTGTCTGCAGCACGGGCTGATTTTTTTCCTTCCTTTCCACAAATCCTCCCCTCCTCCTCCCCCCCACCGTAACGCTGCCTTTCTTACCGTCCTCCCCCTCCCCCCTCGTTCCCGCTCTCTCCCTGCTCTGCAGAGGACCGCACGACCATCTGCCGGGATGTGCCGGACGGCATGGCGCAGGTGTTTCTGTGTCTGCAGGACAACATGGGCAAGCTCAAGGAGTCGTGCCGCACCGCGCTCTTTGAACAGGTGAGCGCGAGCGGGTCACTAGGCGCTTCCATAAGCACCAGCAGGTATGGCACCAGCAGGTATGGCACCAACAGGTATGGCACCAGCAGGTATGGCACTAGCAGGTATGGCACCAGCAGGTATGGTACCAGCAGGTATGGCACCTGCAGGTATGGCACCAGCAGGTATGGCACCAGCAGGTATGGAACCAGCAGGTATGGCACCTGCAGGTATGGCACCTGCAGGTATGGCACGGCACCTGCAGGTATGGCACCTGCAGGTATGGCACCTGCAGGTATGGGTGGGTCACCAGGGGCAATTCACCCCTGGTGTTCATGACCATGACCATGACCATAACCATGACCATGACCATGTCGCTTGATGGTGGCAGTCAAGTTCCCCACGTGTCTTCCCAGTTGCTCCGTAATCCAACAGCCTCCTCGTTTCTACCTGCGCTTTGTCCCTCGTGTGGCACAACCCCAACCCACTCCACCGCGCATTGATTGCACCCATGGGTGGCAGCTGGTGCACGTGGCGGAGGACATCGACTTTAAGTTCCCCATGAATTGATTCCAGTTGCTGCCTAACGCAGCACCCTATGCACATATGAGTGCTCATTCTAACCAATTCCACCCGATTGCACCCCACCCCACCCCACCCCACCCCACACTACTCCACCCCACCTCACCCCATTCCACCCCACAGCTGGTGCGCATGGCGGAGGACATCGACTTCAAGTTCCCCATGAAGCGCGCCTGCGCCTCGGAGCTGCAGAAGTTCTGCAAAGACATCCCGCATGGTATGGTGTAGGGGGGGGAGAAAGGGATGGGGGGAGGAAGGGGGGTGCTGGTATGCTGGGGGTATGCTGGGGCTGGGGGTATGCTGGGGGTATGCTGGGGGCGGGGGGTGGGGTGGTGCCATGGTGCCATGGTGGCATGGTGGAGTGGTGGAGTGTCAGTCAGGCATAAACCGTTCTGCATGGTGTGCCATGGTGTCATTGTATGCTGGTCCCGGAATGGTGAAGGTGCTGACTAGCATGTGCGCTTGTCAAGACCTGATAATACCTTGACGCTATCCTCTTCACAAGAGGATTGGCTATAATTGGCCAACGTCGGAAGATCGCTAATATAATCTGCCTCCCACATTCCTTCCTTCGCGCACCATTCACCCCGTTTTCCTCCGCTGTCTGTCCTCCCCTCTCCTCCTCTCTCCTCCCCTGCCCTCCCTCTCATCCCCTCTCTTCCCTTACCCTCCCATGTTTGTCTATGTCTCTCCCTGCCCCTCCCCGGCAGGCCATGCGGCGAGGGTGAAGTGTCTGCAGGAGAGCATAGACAGTGCGGACATGGGAGAGGAGTGCCGCAAGGAGGTCAAGCGCGACATGGCCCGCTCAGCCGGAGGTGCGCCGCTACCTTTCTTCCTTCCGCCTCGCTGCTCGTTTGTTCCCTCTTGTTGGATTTTGTTTCTCACCGAGCTTGGTCTGTCTGCAAGAAGCATTTGCATTATCCGCCGTCCGCTTCCCATGTCTTTCCCTCCTCGGTCCTCCCCTCTTCCCCTCCTTCTTGCGGCCTCTTCTTCCCCCCCTCCCCCATCCCCTCTTTCTCTCATATCACATTCACCATTCACTGTCCGATTAGATTCGTTCCCACTGCCCTATTTCCCTCTCACTCAGCTTGCCTCTTCTTTCCCATTGGCTTCTGTCGCCCTGTCCTCCCTCACCACCTACCGTTCCTTTTGAAACAACCGGTTGAACCACCATTGTTCCCGAAATGGGCACCATCTTCCCCTCTTTCTCCCCTCCTCTGCCTCACACCCATCACCCCCCCTTCCCGCCGCCCCGTTCAAAGTACCGTCTCAACTACCGCCTGCACTCTGCATGCCTGCCTGAAATCCATGCGTGCGTGCCTGAAATCCATGCATGCCTGCACGAAATCCATGCATGCCTGCCTGAAATCTAGACGCACTGCAGCCACGCCTGTGATGCCGCCATCACCCACGGCTCTCTCTTGCCCCCACCCCTTCTCTCTCATTCCTCTCCACTCTCCCCCATCCCCCTCTCCCCCATCCCCCCCTCCCCCACCCCCCTCAGACTACCGCCTCAACTACCGTCTGCACCGCGCCTGCCTGCCTGAGATCCAGAAGCACTGCTCGCACGCGTGTGACGCCGCCAGCACCAACGGCTCCGTCACGTGTGCGGGCACCGTGGTCAAGTGCCTGCAGGAGAATCAGGATCAGATCGAATCCGAATCCTGCAAGCAGGAGATCACGTCGTTCAGCATCCTCGAAGCAAAGGACCCGCTCTCTCTCGACGTGCCCCTGCAGGCGGCCTGCAAGGGCGACCTGCAGACGCTGTGCCCGGATGTGGGGAGGGACCATGGGAGGAGCTTGGCTTGCCTGAGGGCCAAGAGGGACCAGCTGAGTGCGGCGTGCAAGAAGGAGGAGATGCGGTTCAGCGTGATGGAGGCCTCGGATATTCGCATCACCCCTAGCCTTATGAATGCCTGTGGGCAAGGTATGATCTTGCATGGGTGAGGTATGCGGGCTTGCGGCTTTGAGTGTGGGGGTTGCAGTGTGGAGGGTGCTTTTGAGGCACCTCAAGAAAGGTAAGGGTTTTGGGCTTGAGACGTGCAAGAAGGAGGAGATGCGGTTCAGCATGATGGAGGCCTCGGATATTCGCATCACCTTTTTTTTATAAACGCTTGTAGGCAAGGTAGGAACTCGCATGTGGGAAAGATAGGGGCTTGCACTTACATTCTCCCTCGGTCAATGGTGGGCATTCCTTTCCTTGGTTTCCTGGGGTGCCCTGATGATGTGGTGATGGTGTGCTAACTTTACTCGCATTTCGGTTTCAATCTTATCGTCAACCCCCTGATTCAGCCCCCTCCCCTTTCGCTCCCCAAACCCCTTTTCCGCCCCTTGCTGCTCCCACCTTTCTCATCATATTTTTGTTATTTTATAAATCTCAGAGACTCGAACTTGCAAGTGTAGGCAGCAGCATCAGCATGCGATAGCCGCTCGTGTGTTGCAATCCCCCACCACCCTTCCTCCTCGCTTCTCTCTCATGCCACTCCTGCTGCATGGCTTCTGCAAAAACCTCATCTATACTCCGCCCACTCTTCCTCCGCTCCTCCCCCACTCCTCCTCCCCTTCCCCACTACCCCTCTGCTCCTCCCGATCCCCTCCCTTTTCTCCACACCAGAGCTGCAGAGCTTCTGTCGTGACGTGCCGCCCAGGGGAGGGCGCGCGTTTAAGTGTCTGCAGCAGCACGTGAGCGACGTGGGCATGGGTGCGGCCTGCCAGGGCGAGGTGAACCTGCAGGTGGCCCGCAAGGCCGCCAACTACCGCCTGGACGTGCGGCTCAGGGAGGAGTGCCAGGGCGACCTGAAGCAATACTGTGAGGGCAAGGATGCGGGCAAGGAGGGGCACGCCGTGGTGCTCAAATGCATGGTCGAGAATTTCAAGAGCCTCGCGCCCTCGTGCCAGGGAGAGGTACGTTTGTTGGGTCGAGTGTGGTTGAGTGGGTTGCTGTTGTTGGATGTGCTAGGCGAAGGTGTGTGGAAAGGGTGGCTGGGCGAAGAGTTCAATGTCGTTGCCGCTGTTGCCATTGCGGAGATAGCTCACACAACGGGAGCTAAACTACGGGGAAGGCACGGGTGTTAGGGGTGATTTTGCGTTCCATAGTCATTTGGCAAGAGTTTCACTAGTAAAGATTGACAATAATGGTTCATAATGCAAAGCAACAATGGACTACATTAGATGTTAGCAAGCATGCAGGCCGCTGCCAGCTTAGTTGCGGAAGACGCGTCGAGCGTCTTAGACGCTGCGCGACGCTAGACGCAAGCTTAGGCAAGGTTAGATGCAGGATTAGACAGAAGCTCGGGCAAGCCAAAAAAAAGTTTGGGCAGCCTAAAAAAACTTCTATGGGGCATGGGGAGGGTGGTAGACATGCACGTATGTCACAATTGGATCAGTTTTTTCCCTGCCATAACTTTTTCCCTATGCTTAGAGTTCACAAATGTATTTACATCTCATCATACATAGTTCGGTTTCCATGTCTCTCTAGCAATAGCAAACTCGAAAGATATTGCTATTGCCCCATCCCTGCAATCACTAGGAGACGACATGGTTTCGTGAAGGAACTAGCAAAACCCTAAAGGGTTTTTTGAAAGAGAATTGGAAGATGAGGGGGATTTGTTCTCCCCAACCCCTTGGTGGTTAGCCATAGAGGTTGGGTTTTCTAGATACTAAGCGGTGCAGTGAGGCCTGTGTTCAAATTTGGTTGGAGGGAAGAATAAAATTTGCTTAGGGGGCTGGTTTCTATGGTCGAAATGGGTGGGAGGGGGTCCCGATGTCGCAAAATTGAATTTCACGTCAAAATTGAGAAATTCAGTTTTGCATGCGCTGTTTTTTCTTCGCGTTAAGCATCTAAATGTGCATCTTGCGTCTTTTCGCAACTAAGACTGCTAGCGCAGCACGGTCGACCGCGTTCCAGCATTGCATGGTCTGCAGGAAGGCGGTTGCACAGCGTTGCACCCGCAGGACAGCCGTACACGTGCTTCGCAAGTGCTCGTAGCTGGTTGGCGTGTTATGTCTCTTCACGTTCGCAGCGCAGACACCAAGCTGACCATGTGCCTACGACTGCACCTGATCCTCCACGTCGACCTCGGGAACCACACCGAGGCTGGCTTCTCAAGAACCTCCTGGCCGACTCTTGCACACTCCGTAGTGCCCGTCGCCCGGGTAACTGAGTCGACCGGGTAACAGAGTCGATCGGGCAACTAGGTTGGCGCCACCTGGTCGGCGTCCAGTCGCCCAGGTCGGCGTCCTCCCTCCTCCGAGGTCGACGATTGCCCTCGTCGACCCCTGGTTGAAGTCGGCCACCGGCTCCCGGCGTCGGTGGCTTCGCAGTGGCCCCCGTGCAGGTCGATCTGCGCCCCCAAATCGGTGACGCCCACTGCAGCAGATCGGCTGCACCTTCCGTACACCCGACCACGACGTCGGCTCCACCCAAGCGAGGATAGGGTCAACAAACGACTCCCGTTGACAACTGCCGCTCCTGCCCAGTGTGCACATCTGTTTCCCCCTGCCCACCTCCCCCTAGGTGTCCTATGTGGTGCGCATGGCACTCCTTCAGTATCACCGTTCGGCAGATCTCACAACGTCCTGTCTCCTACGTCTGTTTCGTCAATATCCCCCTTCTCCCCCCTCCCCTCTTTATCCCCAGGTGTCCTATGTGGTGCGCATGGCACTCTTCCAGTACCACCGTGCGGCTTATCTCACATCGCCCTGTGACGACGCAGTGGACGGCATCTGCCTGGCCCCTGGCGCCCCCAAGCCCAAGGAGATCAACGGCGCTGTCATCGGTGTGTTCGGGCAGTGCCTGCTGTCCGCACAGCCCGATAAGCTATCGGAGGGGTGCCGCGCGCTGGTGCAGGTGGCAGGGAAGGAGGGGGCGTATGTGAAGGGCGGGCTGGACCAGGCGAAGCTGGATGAGGCTCTGGCGAAACTGAAAGAGGTGAGTTGGTTGTTGAGTTGGGCACAGTGATGTGAGAGGTGAGCACAGTGATGTGAGAGTGAGGCGAGTGCGATCACACAACACATCTGCATGGTTTCATATCTTGATGTCATGCAGTGTCCATTGATAGCTTGCAGCCCCTTATTCCATCCATCTTATGTCATCTCATTTCATATCACCCTTCACCCCAACCACCTGTGTTCACCAGCTCCCTGCGGCAGCCGCAGCAGACGGGTCGACTGGCAAGTCTGGGCTGGTGATTTCAGGCTGGCTGGCCTTCGCAGCTCTGGTGGCTGTCGTGGTTGTTGCTGTTGCGGCAGGCTTTGGCATTTACCACAAGTATTTCAGCCCCACTCGCAACTACACCTTGGTCGTCAAATCAGCTCCCCCAGGCACCGTTTAGGTAGTGCCCGGTTACGAACACCAAATACGGTACTAGATGATGTGTAAGGCGAGAGTTTTGTGCTCTTAAACTCGTCCTAGGTTGCCCTTACTGTAACTTATTTGTATGGCACACAGACAAGAAAGCATGGGATGATGCTGTAACCATGGATTTTTATTACCACCGACGGTTTCTTATAGTCAGCTGAAACAATCGTTCTGACGTCCCTATCTGCATGATTCCCCAAGGTGTCCCCCTTGAAACGAATCTAGGGTTCCCCGCACATCCCGCTCACTTGGCCGGAGCACAAACGCATAGCGATGGGTTGGAGCTACACCCAGTTCAACCACCAGTGGCGGCAAGGTGACAAGAAGGATGTCCTAATAGCGCCGTGGCGCCTCTCCTCTGCAGACGAGAATTCTCCCCACTCCCCCACTGCGTTTCCTCTCTCTGCCTATCTCAGAAGTTCGTCTGAGTGCGGCTCAATGAGATTTTCTTCGTTGTACCACGGTCAATGTAATGTCTGCGCTGGTTGGGTAGGGTACTCAGCAAATATGAACATGTGGGACACGTCCGTGCAGCTGCTTTGATCTCGTCCGAATATACGGTTTCCGTATGCGCCCCTTTCCACCAATCAGTTCCATTCCTTTTCCAGGGGCTCTGAATATCAGGGCGTTCTACTCTGTTTAACCTGTGCTTTTAACTAGTTTTCACCACCGCTCTAAACAAAAAGCTTCCCCTAAATACCTTGACAACTTAATTGCAAATCTTGCCCTCCTTTCCCTCCCGCGCAGCCAGCTTCCTGTCTAGTTCTACAACGTTTGTTTTAAACGCCGACTGGGCTTGTGCTGGTAGGGTCACGGAAACAGTGCCAGCTATATTTGACACTGCTAGTTTCGACATGGGGAGAAAAAACCTGCAATTTCTTGGCTATGCTGCGCGTGGCACACTGCAGGTAGGGTGAACTTATTCACAACTCGGATCCGTCAGGTTCCTTCAAAACGAATCGAGAGCCCTTCCGAATGACGCGCGCCTTGGGGTTGGTGGGAACGCGTTACTCCTGGCATGGGGGTGAATTTTCCTCAACTTCACATGGCAGGGAGGAGTGACACCAACATTCGTTTCAATTCACCAGTGTTTTGCTCGGTGCAGTACAATCCAAAGCGGTATTACAGAGTGTGCGCAGTTTATTGTGTGGAAACACACTGAACCACGGTGAAGGACGAGTGGAGGGCATTCACGACATTTCTGTAGAGGCGCTGGATGTGGGTTTCACGGATGCATCTGTTTGTGTGTAGCTGATGAGCCAAGTAGAACCACAGAATATGAAAAAACTGAAGGAATTAATTATAGAGCGTAGCAATAACGAGAGGGTTTCTGCTATGGGAATGATGTTGCGCCAGCAACTTGGTAGAGTTTCGGTAGCGTTTACCTCTAAGGACTTGGTGAGAATTGAAGTAGCATTTGGAATTCACTAGGAAAATAGAAAATATATATCAAACACACAAGCAACACAAACATATATAGGCAGGCGAGGGTTTCACAAGAGGTTGCGTGGGCGCTGCGAGTAACCCAACCCCACGAAAGTGGTGTGTGGGTGAGCGAACGCGCCTCGCCAATTTCTCAACCCAACTCAGCATCGACTTCTCGCTTCCGTGCACACCACTCCACCAACCTAGCAAAGAGTGGTGCGACTCTCAAGGAAGCACCAACAACTCCCACGGACTCTCACTTCTTCATGCGACCTCCATCGAACTCATTCGTCGGTGCCGAGTAGACTCAGTCGCTAGGCGTCGACCTGCCAAGTCAAAGGTCATCGAGGGCCCTTGCTGTTGTAGGGCCCTCTAACACTCCCCTGCCATACTACAGCAAGGCCCTTTATAACCACAGGGCATGCATACACACGTACACGCCAAAACAAAGGGAAACACACACAAACGAAGCACTCTCAAAGTGCAAACACGCACCGCACCAGCCATGGATAGGCCATGGCACCATCTACATCATGGAGTGTTTAGGTCTCACCCCCCTCACTCGAAAGCCTCACCTGCCCCACAGCCTTGAAGCAACGACTGAAGGCGGGGAAATGCAATGCCTTCGTGAGGTAGTCAGCAGGCTGCTCGCTCGTAGGGATGTACTGCAACTGCAGCTTCCTGCGCTTGACCATGTGCTGCAGCCACATGTGGCGACGCTCCATGTGCTTGAGGCTCCCCTTGAGCCCCATGCCACCTGCCACTGAAATGGCGGAGGAGTTGTCCACAAAGAGAGTAGTGGGCTCCTCACTCCTCAGCAGTTGAAACTCTGCCAGCAGGAAGCGCAGCCTGCGCGCCTCCTTCCCGGCCTCCACAGCAGCAACATACTCAGACTCAGTGGAGGAGAGGGTGGCGCAACGAATCCTCTGGCTCGCCCATGAGACAGCAGCACCCCCAAGCACGAAGACATAGCCACCTGTGCTGGTCCTGTTCTGCTTGTCCCCTGCATCATCAGCATCGGCGTAGCCCACCAGCTCCAAGGACTCCGGCCCACCTCCAAACTCCAGCGCCACATCCCTGCTCCCCACCAGGTACGTCAAGCACCGGTCCAACTCCTTCCAGTGCTGATCACTCCGCACAGTCTGGCCCGACCCCAGCTTGCTGCAGGCGAACGAGATGTCGGGACGGGTGGTACAGGCCGCGAACTGCAAGGATCCCACCTTCTGCCTGTACTCCTCCTCCTGGCGAGACTGCCATCCCACATCCTCGAAGGTCTGCACACTGAAAGGGTCAGAGGAAAGAGGGGTGCGAGGCACTCGCAGCGGCTGCTCCCCGTCAAAGAAGCGCCTATGAACCTTGTCCACATAGGCCCTCTGGTGCAGCCATAGCCTCCTCGTAGGCCTGTCCCGAATCAGCTGCAACCCCAGATACTTCTCCACAGGGCTAATCTCCCGCAGCTGAAACGCACTCTGCAGCAGCTCACGCAGCTCCCCAAGCATGCTCTGACTGCGGCTGGCAGCAAGCAGGTCATCCACATACACCAGCAGCCAGCACATCTCCCCCTCAGCATCAGTTTTGAAGTACAGAGCCTCATCCACCTTGCTCTTCTTCCATCCAGCCCCAAGCAGCACCCCATCCAAGGCCTCATACCATAGCATCGGGCTCTGCTTGAGCCCATACAGACTTTTCACCAACTTATAGACACAAGGAGTCCCATCCTCGTAATAGCTCGGCTGCTCCATGTAAAGGTCTCGGTCCAGCACGCCATGGAGGAACGCATTCTTTACATCAAGCTGCATCAGGTCCAAATCAAGTGCAGCTGCAATCGCCAGAAGCACACGCGCCGTCACATAGCTTCCCACAGGGGCGTACGTCTCCTCATAGTCCACCCCTGCCACCTGCGTGAACCCCTTCACCACCAGCCTCGCCTTCTCACGCTCCACTATCCCATCAGGTCGGAACTTGGTGTTCAAAATCCAGCGGTTCTTCATCACATTCACCCCTGGCAGACGCGGAACCAACTCCCACGTCCCCTGCTCAATCAAGCTCCGCATCTCTTCATCCATCGCCTCCTTCACCTTGTCGCCCTTCCAGCAGCCCAAGGCCTCCTTCACTGTCATTTTCGCTATGTCCCACTGCCTCTCAGGATCAGCTGCAACGTCCGGGTCCAGGTCAGTCCACTCCTCGTCCTCCTCCTCGTCATCCAAGCCCGCTGGCTCAACCACTACAGCCCAAGCGTATCGAACAGGCGGGACACCACGAGTGATGCGAGTGGAGCGACGCACTGGTGCAGTGGTCGTCCTAGAAACCAACACACGACCACCATCTCTAATTCCCCAAATCTCTTGCTCCCCTGTCTGCGGCTCCCCTGTCTGCTGCTCCCCGAGCTGCTGGTCCACCATCTGCTGCTCCTCAATCCGCTCCTCCCCTATCTGTTGCTCCCCACTCTGCTGCTTCCCTGTCTGCTGCTCCCCAATCTGCTGCTCCCCTGTCGGCTGTACTCCATCCATACTGCTCTCGTCCTGCAGCTGCTCAGTCTCAAGGCGCTGCCCGTCGGTGATCTCCACAGACGGTGGCACCTCCATCCCCCCCTCACCAACGGGCTGCGCCGTGGAAGACGAAGAGGAGGGCGGAGCAGGTGCAGGAGGGATGGAGGGTGTAAGGGGAGATGGAATAACAGGAGGAGGAGGGGAAGGCAAGGGGGGTGAGGAGGAAGAAGGCGGGACAGGGGGAATCACACGAGGGTAGACGGAAGGCGGAGGTGGGGTGGGGACCGAGGTAGGGACATAGGGCATAGCAGGAGGTGCGACCACCTCCTCCTCCTCCTCCGCCTCCTCGAGAGTGATCGGGAAGAGTGAGGGAAGGGCTCATAGGGCATCGAACGCCCCCCATGCTCCTGCTGATGCCAAGCCTTCCATCCTGCTAGGGACATGGTCTCATAGAACACAGCTTCCACAGTGGTGATGAGGCGGTTGGACTCCAAGTCCAGCACGGTCCAGCCTTTGCTCGCAGCTGACACACCCAAGTGCAACCCCCAGCGAGCCTTAGGCGCCAGCTTCCCCCCACGCTGCGACCGTGGTACCATGTACTGCAGCATGCAGCCCCAAACACGCACCATACTGACATCAGGTTTGCGTCGAAAGGCGAGCTCGTACGGCATCACACCAGAGGGTAGTGAGGCGTGCTCCACGCGGTTGCGCACCCAGACGGCCTGAGCCAACGCCAGGTGCCACCAGTGATGCTGCACACCCATGTGCAGCAACATCGTCCGCACCGCCTCCACAATGCTGCGCATCTCCCTCTCGGCCATCCCGTTCTGCTCCGGCGTGTACGGGCATGTGAGGTCATGGATGATGCCTTTACCGTCGAGGAAGAGCGTGAAGTCGTGCCCCAGGAACTCGCCACCCCGATCAGTGCGCAGCGCCTGCACCGTGGTCTTGCACTGTCGCTCTGCCATCGGGAGCCACTTCTGGAACGCCGCCAGCGCATCACTCTTCCGGGCCAAAGGGTAGGCCCAGACATATCGCGTCTTTCGATCCTTCAGCACCAAGAAGTAGCGGCTGCCGTCCTTAGCTGCTTCACGGAAAGGGCCACACAGGTCAGCATGCACCACCCCGAGCAACTCATCCTCCTCCTCTCCCACAGAAGGAAAGGTATGACGAGTGATCTTTCCCCCAACACAGGAAACACAAGGTATGCCTGACTTGCCCCCCTTCTCCAAATCCAAGCCCTTCACTGACCCGTGAGCCGCTGTGCGCTCGATGGCATCAATACCAACGTGTGCCATACGCGCATGCCACAGGTCCCCCTTAGACCGCACGCCCGTCGCCAAGGTACGAAGTGCCACCGTTTCGCCTTCCTGCTGCTGCGTCGAACACGGCTGGAAGTTCGTGCAGAGAACACGCCCCTTGAACTCCGCACGACCAAGGAGCGATCCATCTGGTGCCCGCAGCAAAGTTACATCCCCGGCATCCAGCAACTGCACACCACATTCACGCAGCTGCCCAGCAGAGAGAAGACTCGCCTGCACTCCTGGTACGTACAGCACGTCCGGCACCAAGACACGCCTGCCCCCCTCTCCAAGAAGAGCGATTGTGCCCCGCCCCTGCACCTCCTGAAGCGCGCCGCTGAAGCCAGTAACCTGTTTAATACTGCCGCCGCTGCTCATCTCCACAAAGGCAGAACGATCTCCCATGAGATGGTGGGAGCATCCGCTATCAAGCAGCACGACGCTCGGGTTCGCCTTTACAGCAGCTGCAACAGCCTGTAAGGCCTCCCCGCCCTCAGGCTCTAGCACAACGAGAGGAGTCTGCTCCACAACGGGCTTCACCATCGCACATGATGATTGCCCGCTCCCCTTAGAGCCATCACCCCCCTTTCCGCTGCTACCTCCAGAACCCTCTCCACCGGTGTCTGCCTCCTTATCCGCCCGCTGCTGACAGTACTTAGCAACATGCCCTATTTGTCCACACACATAGCACTTCCCTTTGAAACCCCCTTTCCCCCCCTTCGGCTGGCCATCCTTACCCCCTTTCCACTTCTCCCCTCCCCCACTAAGCCCACCCCCATTCTTAGGCTGCTGCTGCTGTGCCGTAGTGGGAGGGGAAGGGAACGAATTCTGCTGGAATTGGGGCTTACCCTTCTTGGTAAAGACCTGGTTAGCCTGGGGAAGGAATTGGTCCTTTCGTCCCTCTAACGCCAGCGTACATTCCTCCTCGATGATGTAGCTAGCGAGGGTGTTCTCGTCCAACTCCTTGCGCACCTGCGGCAACTTCAGCATCCTGCGTAAGAGGTTGTACTGCTGCGGCAACCCCTTCACCACGTGAGTGATGTACGACGCTTGTGAGTAATCTACGCCGGCCATCCTCAGGTTCACTAGGATCTGCTGCGCACGGTTGCAATAGGACGTAGCGGACTCGTGCTCTCCCATCTCGAGGTTAGTGAGCGCCTGCTCTAACTGACCGATGTACAGATCGTCCTTCGCCATGTACGTGCGCATAACTGCCATGCCTGATAGCCGGCATCAACCTTCATGCGACACGCCTTAAGGGCGATCTGTACGGTTGGGGAGCAGCATCGGGAAATGGTGGTGAATGTCAGCAACTGCATCGCGCGGAACTGAGAGAGATGCGCAAGCGCACGCGCTGGTGGAATAGGGGTGGTGCCATCTATGAATCGCTTTAGCTGAGCGATCTCAAGCTGCGGCTCGATTGATTCTGTCCACGTCGACAGGTCGTGACGTCCTTCTAACGGACTAGTGACAACGATCTTGTCTGGAGTGAATCTGAAGTAGCCATAGTTGGGGGCTATTCCCTCGTCCCTCGACATCGATCCAATCGGGGTAACGCCCGGCATAGTCTCACTATCGAACTCTTCCGCAATTCCTCCTCCAGCAACGCTTCGCCGTCCTACATTCGCATGCTCTCGTGACGCTGCTGCACGATGAACACGCTCCTGTACACCGCCGACGCTAGCCGTACTAAACCGAGTTGGTCTTCGCAGGACCCCACGCGACATCAACCCATCAAACTCCTCGTCATCGCTATTTCCGCCATCGACAGCCATATCCCACGCACTAGTACCTCCCGCAACTTGCTCAACATTCTCTACACGTGGGGAAGGGTGCTCACGACGCCGACGCGAGCGCAATCCCTCCAACATTAGCTCGTATTCAATATCACTAATCTCACCACGAGAATGACGAGCCACGAGATCCTCCTCTAGAGTGCGCAAATTACCGGCCTCCACGTTCGCCTCCTGAGTACTCATCCTCTATGACGTCTCTATAAGGTACCACAAATTAAAATAAAGTGCCCCTTCCTTAAATCCCTCGTCTCGGGGTCACCTCACAAGGGTCCTCAGACGAGTGGTAATAAATTACCAAACGCCCTATCCTTGGGTCCGAGAACGTAACTGGAGGGAAATCAAGAGAGGTTCAACTTAGATTAATAAGCGCCCTTCACTAACGCCGCACGCCAAGGCGAGTATACGAACGCGAATATCAACGACGACGTAAATCTATGCGTGTTCGTTCCATGCTCACCGCACCATGAAGGAATTAATTATAGAGCGTAGCAATAACGAGAGGGTTTCTGCTATGGGAATGATGTTGCGCCAGCAACTTGGTAGAGTTTCGGTAGCGTTTACCTCTAAGGACTTGGTGAGAATTGAAGTAGCATTTGGACTTCACTAGGAAAATAGAAAATATATATCAAACACACAAGCAACACAAACATATATAGGCAGGCGAGGGTTTCACAAGAGGTTGCGTGGGCGCTGCGAGTAACCCAACCCCACGAAAGTGGTGTGTGGGTGAGCGAACGCGCCTCGCCAATTTCTCAACCCAACTCAGCATCGACTTCTCGCTTCCGTGCACACCACTCCACCAACCTAGCAAAGAGTGGTGCGACTCTCAAGGAAGCACCAACAACTCCCACGGACTCTCACTTCTTCATGCGACCTCCATCGAACTCATTCGTCGGTGCCGAGTAGACTCAGTCGCTAGGCGTCGACCTGCCAAGTCAAAGGTCATCGAGGGCCCTTGCTGTTGTAGGGCCCTCTAACAAAAACCGCCATCATCTTTCGGCTAGACAGGTGTCGCGTCGATTGGGCACTGTGGGTGCTAACTTACCATGCAAGATCTCCTATAATGGCGTGCGTGTTCCACCAAATTAGTCTTAGGAGTTCGTAACATCAAGCTCTCGTGTCAACACGATTGACCATTGACTTTTTGAGTTAATCAAATGTCACGGCAGTCTGCAGCGTGCTCTCGTGTTTCTATTACGATGATCTTCAGAGTATGAGCTGTCAAGATAGTAGGTAATAGAGAGTAGAAACGTGGGGCCTAGGCTTAGTAGCCTAGGCCCTAACTTAGTATCGAGCGGGTTTTCCCCTAGGGTGAGAGTCGAGTGAGTTGAGAGGAAAATTGTGAAAAGGTGGGTTTCACTATAGGTTCAGGGGTACATATAGCATAGAAACACAATAAGGTGCACCACCAACAAAAGTTTACATAACTACACTAACTACAACTACAAGCAATTATAAAACATGACAAAATATTTCGACACGCCCCCATAATGCTTGTAGGTAGGTGTGTAGTTACAGCAACAGCAGGTACCCCTACCATCTCCTCACCCTCCTCCTTCCCCTCCCCAACACTGCTGCAGAAGCAGCAGAGAAAGGGGGGAAAGAGGAAAGGTGGAGGGACGGCTGCTTGTTGCCTCACCCCCGCCACCCCGGTACCACCCCCCCCCCTCACCCACATCCTCACACCCTCCTCCCCCAGCGGCAGCTGCAGCGGTGGGACTGAAAGAAGGAGGAGGGAAAGGGAGAGAGTTGACCCCACGCTCCAACACCCTCCACCCCCATACCCTCCTCCCCACGGCTGCAGGGAGACAAGAGAAAGGGGGGGGTGGGAAGGAAGAAAGCCGCAGAGCGGCGAAGAGGCGTCGGTGCAGATGGGTCAGGGACGGCAGCAGGGAGTGCAGGGGCGGAGAGGCCCGTCGCGGGCCAGTGCCACGGGGCGCACGACGGGTAGGATAAAAGGGCCCGATCGTGTGCCTCGGGGCGCACGACGAGCAGGGCACCATCGTGTGCCTCGGGGCGTACGATGGGCAGATAAAGGGCACCGTCGCGTGCCACGGGGCGCGCGACGGGCAGGATAGGAGTCACACGCCCGTGGGCGGGACAAGGTAAAACTAAAATCGTCACGCGCCCTAGGCGCGCGACCGGAAAATCTCAGCAGCGGAAGAGTAACGCGGGCCCACAGGCCAGGACGAAAACAGCTCTGATACCATGTCAAGATAGTAGGTAATAGAGAGTAGAAACGTGGGGCCTAGGCTTAGTAGCCTAGGCCCTAACTTAGTATCGAGCGGGTTTTCCCCTAGGGTGAGAGTCGAGTGAGTTGAGAGGAAAATTGTGAAAAGGTGGGTTTCACTATAGGTTCAGGGGTACATATAGCATAGAAACACAATAAGGTGCACCACCAACAAAAGTTTACATAACTACACTAACTACAACTACAAGCAATTATAAAACATGACAAAATATTTCGACATGAGCTGCATCGCTGGAGAAAGCCGATGAGATACGCTCGTTAACTTCGACCTTCGAAACGTGTCGCAAGGTAACATTAGGCTCATGAAGTTTACTCTCGGTTTACTCTCGGCCCAGGACCATAGTAGTGACGCTTAGTAGGTACTTCGGAGTGACGTTGCGAACATAGTAGCTTGGGTTTTGCCTTTGCTCAGTACGTTGGATTTCTGCGACGAATTACTGGCTTCGTAGAACTCGCCGCATTCACAGCCATCACAATTCGACACATCGACACCCCATTTTTGCCCAGTCGGCAGAAGCAACCACAGACTCGTTTCGTTGCGCGCGTTCGCCCCAGCACCAAAGAACCGTCCGGAACCACGCGGCACCGCAGCCATCATGGGAGTCCACGAAAGCCCCGAGGAGCAGCTACTAACAGTGGTAAACCGGCTCCCTGCACACCCGAAATCCGTTCACAACAAATCCCAAGGAGTTCCGGGCCAATGGAAAAGTGGCTCAGTCTCGAAGCAGACGTCGGGCTTGTGCTTCGGTTTGAGGGAGTGGAGAAACGCGGAGCGCGGGGGCGCGGGCGCGGCGGATCCGTCGACTGTTACTGGGCGCTGTTCCGCCTTGCGCTGCCGTCCATTCTGCTGCAGAGCGGCGCGCCCCTGGCGATCACGGTGCAGACGGCGCTGCTGGGCCGCAAGGACACGCAGCTCGTCGCCGCGTGGGCCGTCGTTGCGAGTGAGTTTGGGGAGAGGTGATGTGTGTGAATCAGATGCTGTGTGGGGGGCCGCATGGGGGTGCGTGTGGGGCATCGAGTTGCGCAAGGCGACGCTGGACCGCAAGGGCACGCAGCTAGTCGCTGCGTGGGCCGTCGTTGCGCGTGAGACTGACGCACAGGAGTGAGCGTGATGAGAGTTGACGTTTGACTCGGATGCTGTGTGCTGGGCATGGAGATGCGCGCGCGGGGCGTGGGGATGCACGCGGGGGCCACGGGGATGCCCGCGGGGGCACGGGGATGCGCGGTGGGGCCATGGAGATGCGCGCGTGCGGTGGGGGATGCACGCGTGCGGTGGGGGATACGCGCGTACGGCATGGGGATGCGCGCTGAGACCATGGGGATGCGCGGGGGAGAGCATGGGGACGCGCGTGGGGCACGGGGGAGCGCGCACGAAGCATGGGGATGCGCGCGGACAGGACGGCACCAGCAGAGCGACGAGCTTGCAGGGGCAGAGCAGAGGCAGGCAGGGCCCTCTCGTCTGATTTTGAGGCGCCTCAAAATCGCCCACTGGCCGGCACGGCTCGCGCCTCGCCTGCTTTGCCGCTTGTACCTTTGTAGGCACCGAGCTGATGAGTTGATTGTGGTGGCAAGAGCCGGTTGGGTTGGCTTCCTCTCCCTCCCACCTTTCTCATCCTCGTTCCTCATCACCCTTTCTCATCCTCGTTCCTCATCACCCTTTCTCATCCTCGTTCCTCATCACCATTTCTCATCCTCGTTCCTCATCCTTCTCATTTCACCGACCCTCCCCCTTCCCTTGTCCTCACTCTCCCACTCTCCCTCCCCCATCCCCTTTCTCTCTCCGCATCTGCTCCTCCTCGCAGCGGCCACGAATGCAGCGACAGTCATTTTCAACTTCCTTGTTGTCGGCGTCACAGCTAAGGTGAGGTGGCAGCTAAGGTGGGCGGCAGGTACGGACGGATAGCTGCCCTCGGATGAAGTTGCCAACCTCGGATTTGCACGGCGCTTTGAGCATTCTATAAAAATCTACCAAAGGTTGCTGTGGGCACTGCTGTCCAATAGCTTGTTACCACCCCCAACTCTGCTTCCCTCTGCTGTGCAACTCTCTGCGCTGCTCGTCTATGCAGGTCACCAAGGTGGTAGCAGTGGGCGCGTGGGCGCAAGTGGGGGTGCGAATCCGCCTCGCACTCGCCATGGCTCTAGCCACCAGTGCACTGGCCGTGGCGCTGCTGCTGTCCTCTCAGGGGCTGCTGTGGGCGCTGCTAAGTGACTCGCCCTCCGTGCTGCAGTACGCTAAGAGTTACTTTTACTTGAGAGTCATGGGCGTGCCGCCGCAGCTGCTGGTCATGTGCACTTCCGGCGTGCTGCAGGGATACAAGGTACAAAACACTTCAAGCTATGGGTATGTGTTACACGGTAGTAGTATGGTAGTTCATTTCAGACTGGAGAGTCAAGGGAGTTAAGGGCACAAGGATTGACATGAAGTGCTCTTATGAAGCGACCCCATCTTGACTTTTTTTTTTTTTTTTTTTTTTTTTTTGTTCGTTTTCAAAAGCTCGGTATCTGCCCTTCGCTTCCCGTTTCTCCCCGTTCTCCTCCATTCCACCCTCTCAGCACGTGGCGCTGGTGGCATGGCTGCAGGCAGCACGAGCGCTGCTGGACGTTGCCGCATCCTACCTCTCCCTCTACGTCCTTGACTGGGGCATTGTGGGTGTTGGCATCGGCACCTTCCTCGCATCCTGCACCGTCGCAGCTGTTTCCTTAGCCTGTATCCTCCTCCTGCCGCCTCCCCAGGGCAAAGGGAAGATTGTTGTTTTCCCACCCATCCTGTCGTTTCTGGCTCGGAAGGTCGCCGTACCGCAGGTTCTGCTCTGCCGAGCCTTGAGCCAGCGGGTTTCCCGGACCTGCTCAAAGGTCCGGGTGGGTGGTGCAGCGGCGTTGGCGGACGCTCAGGTGCTGCTGCTGGATGGGAGGGAGAGGGAGGGGACTGGGAAGGAGGTGGGCGGGATAGAGGAGACAGTACTGGCGGTTCTTGAAGGGAGAATGTTGAAGGCGGGTAGAGATGTTGCTTCAGTGCATGTGAATGATCAACGGGCACATGGGTGTGCGCGTGAAGATGAGGCGCGATCGAGGGACGAGCAGGCAACCAGAGTGGGAGGTCGGGAGGAGGAGGGAAGGGCTGTAGAGGGAGGGGATGAGGAGGGAAGGGAGGAGGATAGGGTGGGGAGGGAAGGTGAAGCAGAGGGGGGAAGGAGGAGTCGAGCGGATGATGCAACGCATAGCCGGATGGTCGCAGAGGAGCCTGAAAACGAGGGTGATGGAATTGCTTATAACGAGGACATGGTTATGGGTGGGGATGGAAGGGGCATGCGGGAAGGGGGTTGTGCGGAGAGTGTGGAGGTCAGAGTGGTGGTGGGGAGGGAGGAAACTTCCACGGTGCTGCTTTTGAAGACTGGGGAGGAGGAGAGAGTGGAGAAGGGGGGGAGTGTGAGGAGTGATAAGGGAGGGAGTGGGGGCAGTAACATTGGAGAAAGGAGGGTCGGAGAGAAGGGAGAGGGCGCGGAGGGGAAGTGCAAGGCGGAGGAGATGGAGGAGGCGAGGATAAACGAGGTGCTGAATGAAAGCCCATGGACGTTTCTGAGGGACGGATTGAGCACCATCCTCAGAAGCACTCTTGTACAGGTGTGCGTGTGCATGTGTGTGTGCATGTGTGTGTGTGTGTGTGTGTGTGTGCGTGTGAGTGTGTGAGTGTGTGTGTGTGTGTAGGTGTGTGTGTGTGTGTGTGCGCCTGTTCGTGTGTGCGTGTGTATGGGCATGCGTGTGGGTGGCTTACCAACTCCCATTCATTCCCTCAACCACCTGTACGGAACAATATACTATACCACTTTTTTCCCCGCCCTCACCTCCCCGGCCATTCCCAGTTGAGAATTTTATTCACCCGCCTTCTCCTGTCGCTGGCACCCTCCCTGGCACACGTCCCATGCAGCTCTCTTTCTTCCTCGTGCTCGCCTGTGCCACTTCACTCGGCGTGCATGCTGTAGCTGCGCATCAGGTGCGCCACTTCCCGTCGCCCTCCCCGTTTTCGCTCCACTTTACTCTCATTTGGCCTCCCTAGCCTTCCTGTGCCCCCCGCCAAACCACCCCTGCTCCGTGCTTTCCTTTATTTCCCTTCCTTCCCTTTCTCTCCCCTTCCTTTCCCTTCCTTTCCCTTCCTTTCTCTTTCCCTTCTTATTCGTTCCTTTCATTTCTATTCACATTATTTTCCTCCGTCTCCCTTCCCGTTCATTTCATTTCGTCCCCTTCCCTCCCTTCTAAACCTTTTCCTTACTTTCCTCCCTTTACCTTCGTTCGTCATGCCCCATGCCACATGCCACATGCCACATGCCCCATGCCACATGCCACATGCCCCATGCCACATGCCCCATGCAACATGCCCCATGCCACATGCCACATGCCACATGCCCCATGCCACATGCCCCATGCCACATGCCACATGCCACATGCCCCATGCCACATGCCACATGCCACATGCCCCATGCCACATGCCACATGCCCCATGCCACATGCCACATGTCACATGCCCCATGCCACATGCCACATGTCACCTGCCCCATGCCACATGTCCCATGCCACATGCCCCATGCCACATGCCCCATGCCCCATGCCCCATGCCCCATGCCACATGCCACATGCCCCATGCCACATGCCCCATGCCCCATGCCACATGCCCCATGCCCCATGCCACATGCCCCATGCCACATGCCCCATGCCCCATGCCACATGCCCCATGCCACATGCCACATGCCCCATGCCACATGCCACATGCCCAATGCCACATGCCACATGCCCCATGCCACATGCCACATGTCACATGCCCCATGCAACATGCCACATGCCACATGCCCCATGCCACATGCCCCATGCCACATGCCCCATGACCCCTGCCCCATGCCACATGCCACATGCCCCATGGCCCATGCCACATGCCCCATGCCCCATGCCACATGCCCCATGCCCCATGCCCCATGCCCCATGCCACATGGCCCATGCCCCATGCCCCATGCCACATGCCCCATGCCCCATGCCCCACATGCCACATGCCCCATGTCCCATGCCCCATGCCACATGCCCCATGCCCCATGCCCCATGCCACATGCCCCATGCCACATGCTCCATGCCCCATGCCCCATGCCACGTGCCACATGTCACATGCCCCATGCCACATGCCACATGCCACATGCCACATGCCCCATGCCCCATGCCCCATGCCCCATGCCCCATGCCACATGCCACATGCCCCATGCCCCATGCCCCATGCCCATGCCACATGCCCATGCCACATGCCACATGCCACATGCCCCATGCCACATGCCACATGCCACATGCCCCATGCCACATGCCATATGCCCCATGCCACATGCCACATGCCCCATGCCACATGCCACATGTCACATGCCCCATGCAACATGCCCCATGCCACATGCCACATGCCCCATGCCACATGCCACATGCCCCATGCCCCATGCCACATGTCACATGCCCCATGCAACATGCCACATGCCACATGTCCCATGCCACATGTCCCATGCCACATGCCCCATGCCCCATGCCCCATGCCCCATGCCACATGCCCCATGCCCCATGCCCCATGCCCCATGCCCCATGCCACATGCCCCATGCCCCATGCCCCATGCCCCATGCCCCATGCCCATGCCACATGCCCCATGCCACATGCCCCATGCCCCATGCCCCATGCCACATGCCACATGCCCCATGCCCCATGCCCCATGCCCCATGCGACATGCCCCATGCCACAAGCCCCATGCCCCATGCCCCATGCCCCATGCCCCATGCCACATGCCCCATGCCCCATGCCCCATTCCCCATGCCACATGGCCCATGCCCCATGCCCCATGCCACATGCCCCATGCCCCACATGCCACATGCCCCATGCCACATGCCCCATGCCCCATGCCCCATGCCCCATGCCACATGCCCCATGCCCCATGCCCCATGCCCCATGCCCCATGCCACATGCCCCATGCCCCATGCCCCATGCCCCATGCCCCATGCCACATTCCCCATGCCCCATGCCCCATGCCCCATGCCCCATGCCACATGCCCCATGCCTCATGCCCCATGCCCCATGCCCCATGCCCCATGCCCCATGCCCCATGCCCATGCCACATGCCCCATGCCACATGCCCCATGCCCCATGCCCCATGCCCCTTGCCCCATGCCCCATGCCCCATGCCACATGCCCCATGCCACATGCCCCATGCCGCATGCCCTATGCCCCATGCCCCATGCCCCATGCCACATGCCCCATGCCGCATGCCCCATGCTCCATGCCCCATGCCCATTCCCCATGCCCCATGCCCCATGCCCCATGCCACATGCCCCATGCCCCATGCCCCATGCTCCATGCCCCATGCCCCATGCCCCAAGCCCAATTTCCACCCCCGCAGAACCTCATGCGGCCGCAGGAGGGAAGCATCTACATCGCAGATAGAGTCGCTGCTCCCGAGACCTAAACCCCACCCCTCCCCTCCGCCCTCCCTCTTCCACCATTTGCGCATTCCCGTCCCCCCACTGCAGATCCTCATGCAGCTGTGGATGGTCAGATGGCTTTGCCACAGCGGGCACCATCATGGCCAGCAGCTTGGCTTGAAACCTTCTCCCTTCCCCTTTTCCCATCCCTCCCCCCTCTTCCTCCCCATGCCCCGATGCCCCACTACAGATCCTCATGCAGCTGTGGATGGTCAACATCTACATCGCAGATGGCTTTTCCACAGCAGGCACCATCGTGGCCAGCAGCCTGGCGGGACGGATGGCGCAGGCGCAGACCAGGGGCGAGCATGCAACCCTCTTGGCGGACCTAAGGCTCGTGTGCTGGCGTGTGCTGCGCATGGGATTGATTGCAGGTGAGGGAAGGGGTTGGGGGGAGGCGAGGGAGGGGCATGGGAGCATGTGAGGGTGGGGCATGGGGGCAGGTGAGGGAGGGGGATGGGGGCAGGTGAGGGAGGGGGATGGGGGCAGGTGAGGGAGGGGGATGGGGGCAGATGAGTGAGGGGGATGGGGGCAGGTGAGGGAGGGGGATGGGGGCAGGTGAGGGAGGGGGATGGGGGCAGGTGAGTGAGGGGGATGGGGTCAGGTGAGGGAGGGGGAGGGGGGCAGGTGAGGGAGGGGGATGGGGGCAGGTGAGGGAGGGGGATGGGGGCAGGTGAGTGAGGGGGATGGGGGCAGGTGAGGGAGGGGGATGGGGGCAGGTGAGGGAGGGGGATGGGGGCAGGTGAGTGAGGGGGATGGGGGCAGGTGAGGGAGGGGGATGGGGGCAGGTGAGGGAGGGGGATGGGGGCAGGTGAGTGAGGGGGATGGGGGCAGGTGAGGGAGGGGGAGGGGGGCAGGTGAGGGAGGGCCTTTGAGGATGTGTATGTGCCATACAAGGTTGGGAAGATGGCGCTTGTGCAGAGCATCATGCAGCACTGCTGGCGGACCTTGGGCTCGTGTGCTGGTGCGTGTTGCGCATGGGACTGGTGGTAGTAGGTGATGATCTGAATTGATTCGAAAGAGGCCCATATGCCAATCCCCACGTGTGCCTCATCACTGCAGCATGCACTGGATCACTTCATAACGAAGCAGTTGCCTTCTCCCTGCCGCTTATATTCTCTATCTAAACCAGGCGTGCTTATATGTGCAGCAGAGCATACACATCCCTAGAGCGCCACTTCACGGCTCCCTTCACATACGATGAGGCTGCGTAGGCTTAGGCAACACCGCACCGCATACACATTGCTGGAGCACCACGTCACGGCGCTCTTCACGTGTGACGAGGCCACTTAGGCACCCCCTGACCCTCTCTCTCTCCCTTCCCCTCCCCCCCGTCGACCTCCAGGCATCCTCATCTGTGCGGCATACACATCCCTGGAGCGCCACATCGTTGCGCTCTTCACATATGATGAGGCCACCAAGGCGCAGCTGAGGCACGTGTGGCTCTTCCTCGCGCTCATGCAACCACTCAACTCCGTGGTGAGTGAATGGATTATTCTCTACGCGCCCAGCCCTTCTCATTCTAATCACCTTCCCTCGTCATCCACCCTACCAACCCCCCCAGGTATTCGTCTTTGTAGGTCTCATCTACGTCCGTCTCGTCCACGTCCGTCTCGTCCACGTCCGTCTCAAATAGGTCCGTCTCATCTACGCGGCTCAGGCCTCCTCCTACATGGCAATGCACCCTACCAGAGCGCAGTGCCCCTCATTCCCCTCTTTCCGGCCCCCCTCCTTCCTCCTAATTTCCTGTATCCTTGGTCCACCCTATCCTCCCAGGTATTCGTGTATGATGGTCTCATCTATGCGGCACAGGCCTTTTCCTACATGGCCGCATGCTTGGCTGTTGGTTTTTTCACGCTCTTCCTTCCCATCGTCTGTGAGTGCCTCCCCCCTCTTCCCCCTCCTCCCTCCTCCTCCTTCTAATATCCCTTCCCCGCCCTCATCGCTCTCTGTTCCCCCAGGTATTCGTGTACGATGGGCTCATCTATGCGGCTCAGGCCTTCTCCTACATGGCGGCGTGCTTGGCTGTTGGCTTCTTCACGCTCTTCCTTCCTGTCGTCTGTAAGTGTCCTTCCTTCCACCTTTTCTGCTTCTCTCTACTGGTCATTGATGCCAGCAATGCCATATTTTGCCCTCAGTTCGTCCGCATTAGTATATTGTTTCCTTCATTCCCTTTTCCCTTCTCCTCGCTTTTTCCTTCTCTTCCCTTTCCCTTTTCGCCTTTCTCCTCTCTTCCCTTTCTCGTCGTTCACTTATCCACATCTTCCCGTTTACCGTCGTTTCTCTTGTCCACCTCTCCTCATTCGCCTTGTCCCATCTCTTTCGGTTCCCCCTCCATTCACACCGCTCGTATACCTTCTCCCTCTTCTTTTCCTCCTCCTCCCCCCCGCATCCCTTGCCGCTTTCCCATTCCCATTTCACCAACTCCCTCTTCTCCCCCATCTCTTCCCCTCCCTCCCTTTTCCCTTCTTCCAATTCAAGACGTTTCTAGCCGCGTGGGCGGCCAACGGGGTGCTCAACACAATGACTTCTCAGTCGGGCAGCAACTTGAATCCTCCATCTCCTTCGCTCAACGCCTCCTCCCCCTTCCCTCCCAACCCCCCCTCCTACAGCACTTGCATTCTTCCGCTTCAAGACCCTTCTGGCCGCGTGGGCAGCTAAGGGGGTGCTCAACGCGTTGCGCTTTGCAGTCGCGGGATACAAAATCCACTTTGATTTCCTCTGCCCCGATGGATCGCACCTCCCACCTGCACCGTCCACCGACCCTCAATCCCACAACAAGGCACCTCCTCAACCTTTCACTGATCCATCCCACAAGGCGGATCACAAGGCACCACCCCAACCATCATCCTACCCAGGCCAGAGACCATCCCCTCCTCCACAGCCTCCTCATGTGATTCAACATAAAAGGGCATCACCCCCACAGTTGCTGAATCCCCTCAGAGCACAAGACACTTGACGGCCTGTGCAGTCTAGATAACCCCTTGAGACTGCACCATGCTCCCACTCGTACCAAAGTTCCACTCGGGAACGACCACCACCTTGACAGCCTTCACTCTCGCCCCCTCAACTGCCCATGCTACTCATCGCCTCCTTACATCCATGACCAGTCCCGCTGCTCCCTGGTGCCCGTACCGTACCTCCTCCCACCGCACACGACCACTTGACGAGCAGCTCGTTGGCAAAGCCAATCTCCAAAAATTGTTGCAGCAGGCGGCAGCATTTTTACTGTACAAAGGTTGAGGAGTGCCCGCTCGTCAAATACCGTACCGTAGCATGAAACTCGCCACTGTTTTACGCAGTGCTTGCCTTGAAATGAAACCCTGATGCATTTTTCAATACCGTAGCATATTGGGAGCTCATACCCTCCGTCCACACCGAAAGGTCCACTACGCATTCAGTGGCAAGGTGGTGTGATTGTGCCTTCTCTCTCTCAATCTCATCCTGTTGCTGCTTCCACTTGCCTCGCCATCCTGTTGAGGGGTGGAGGGAGGGAGGGAGGGAGGGAGGGAGGGAGGGAGGGAGGGAGGGAGGGAGGGAGGGAGGGAGGGAGGGAGGGAGGGAGGGAGGGAGGGAGGGAGGGAGGGAGGGAGGGAGGGAGGGAGAGAGGCATCTAGGCCTCTTCCCTCAGCCTTAGTTCCTTAGTATAAAGGCTCTAGCAGCCAGCTAGTTCCTCATTGTTCGATTTTTTATTCTCCTAACCGAGCGGCTTGAGAGAGCCAGAGAGAGAGAGAGAGAGAGGCATCTAGGCCTCTTCCCACAGCCTCTCATCCTTAGTACCATAAAGGCTCTAGCAGCCAGCTAGTTCCTCATTGTTCGATTTTTTATTCTCCGAACCGAGCAGCATGAGAGAGAGAGAGAGAGAGAGAGAGAGAGAGAGAGAGAGAGAGAGAGAGAGAGAGAGAGAGAGAGAGAGGAAGGGAGAGAGAGAGAGAGAGAGAGAGAGAGAGAGAGAGAGAGGGAGAGAGAGAGAGAGAGAGGGAGAGAGAGAGAGAGAGAGAGAGAGAGAGAGAGGGAGAGAGAAAGGGAGAGAGAGAGAGAGAGAGAGAGGGAGGGAGAGAGAGAGAGAGAGGGAGGGAGAGAGAGAGAGAGAGAGGGAGAGAGAGAGAGAGAGAGAGAGAGAGAGAGAGAGAGGGAGAGAGAGAGAGAGAGAGAGAGGGAGAGAGAGGGAGAGAGAGAGAGAGAGAGAGAGAGAGAGAGAGAGAGAGAGAGAGAGAGAGAGAGAGAGAGAGAGAGAGAGAGAGAGAGATGGCTATGTGCTAGTCCTTAGCCGTTTTTCGCCTCCCTAGCATAGTGCATAGTCCATAGCCGCTTCCAGCACTGTTTCCTTAGTATAAAGTCTCTAGTCTTTGGCCCATGAGGCTCATTCTTCACTGGTGAGTCTAGTTCACTCTCCAAAACCGGCGGCGGCCGCCGAAGGTGTGGCAAGGGTCTCCAGCGACAAGTTTCATAAGAACATTTGATACAACATGCAGTGGTAGAGCCCTGCAGCAAAAGCAACATCCCCGGGCGTGCCTACACCGCCATGGGGAAGCCCAAGGCTAAGCCAGCTACCAAGGGGGATGGCAAAGGGGACAAACCGGCTACTCGGAGAGTATCCAGCACAGCCTCCCGTCCATCCAGCGTAGGACGGATGCGGCTGCTGATACAAGACCAAGAGGGGCCCCCTGAGCAGACTCAGCAAGCCGCAACATTGCCCCAGGGCCGGGCCCGAGCGCAGCACCAGGGGCACCCTTGACAAGCCCGATCAGGGGGAGATAATGTAGCATCTCCCTTGCTGCGGACACCGCCGCTGACTGCTCCGATGGCATCATCCCCCCAACCTCCACACCCTGCCGCGCCAGACACACGTGGAGTTGGTACAGCACGTAGGACAGCAGCGTCAAACACGTCCCCACGTGCATTACGCACTGCTCGACGTGGAAAGGAGTCGCATCCACACGAGCAGCAACGTGAGGACCTGGTGGGACGGGTGGGAATAACAGCACCTGGGGAGGCGGCGGGGGAACAGGAGTCGGTGGAGGGCGAGGCGGCTGCGGCCGCGGCGGCAGGGGGAAGTGGCGCAATGGGGACTGAGTCAGAGGCGGCTGTGGCGGTTGAGGCTGCGGCTGCTGCAGGGCTGGAGGGGGTTGCTGCTGAGGCGACTGAGATGGTGGCTGCTGCTGAGCTTGGCGGGTCTGACGCTGCCTCTGGCGGCGGCTCAGCCTCACCCTCTGCCATCCCCCAGGCGTGGCAACCAGAGGAGCCGGGACCACCAGTGGCTCAGGAACGGACCGAGGCGGTGGTGCTGGCGGCGTCACCGGAGCCTGTAACGGCGTCTGTGCTGGCGGCGGCGGTGACAGCGGCGACAGGGGAACAGGACAGAGCCCGGACCGAGGAGGGTGCGCCGGTCGCCGCTGCGAACGCCGAAACTTCTGCTGCTGCCGAGGGCGCAAGCACGCAGGGACACGACCTGAGGGGAGTGGTAGACAGGGTCGTGGAGCCGGCGGGACTGCCTGCGCCGCCCGCGGGAAGACGAAGCTTCGAGCCCAGCCAGCACCGAGGCGGCCCGGAGCAGGGCTGGGACTTGGTCCCCCGGGACCCCTCCTGGGCTGGCTTCTGCAAGGGCAGTTGCCACAAGGGCAAGAGCGTCACTTGCCATCTGTGGGGACAAGCGACGGGAGAAGGGAAGCAGGAGACAGGATCAGGCTAGCACCCACACCGATCATCACGACAGGGAACGCAGTGGCGGGACCATCAATGCAACAACCACCGCGTCGGGATTCACGGAACTCAACGGGGGGAGAGGAGAGAACAACCACGGCAGCCGCCACGGCTCAACAGACCCCACGGCGTGAAACCCGCAGTGTTACGAGGGCGCAAGGCATTACCTGGGGCCAGCCAAGGGTTGGCCAGGCAACGCCGATGCTGGCGCCGTGGATCCCGGCGGGAAGACCGCAACATGCAGGCCGAGGCGAGCAGAACGCCGGCCCTAGGGGGGGAGAAACGGCTCGCGGAGCAAGGGGAGGAGTGCGAGGGGCCAGAGGGGGACGGGGCGGAAGAGGCCCGATTGTCGGCGGAAGGGTCGCGCTCGTGAGAATGGGAACGTGGCGGGAACGCCACGAGCGACCGGAGCAAGCGGAGCCTGCAACGAATCACGACGAAGAAGATGATGCAAACACCGACGAGGGGGGCGATTATGTAGCTGAATCAGCGGAGCCATCAGAGGAAATCTCGTTGGAGGACGAGGAGGGAGTACACATGACGAGAAGAGCTGGGGAGCGAAGGAGAACCCAGAATAATGGGGTAAAACCCTAGGGCAATAACCCTCAGGGTGCGAGAATTGGGAACGAGGAAGCGCCAGGAGTAAGGGGAAACCCTCAGGTGGTGGGAGAAAATGGGGACGCACCCAACGAGGGACAGAGTGACTCTGGGGTCAGATCACCGTCTGACCTGGCGGATGATTCTGCCATCTGGGAGCTGGCAGCCACGTGGGACAAATACCCACTCCAAAAAGGGGATCAACCCTTCGTGGTCCGCAGAATGCCGCCCAAGATCCTGGAAAGCTACACGCTCTGTCTCTTGGCGCCACTCATTCGACTCTCGAAGAATCCTGACTACCCAGGTGCATGGGCGATCCTACAGTATCTGCCGAGGCTGAAGCTACGCCCAGCCCCTGAACCTGTTGAAGGCAGTCGGTGGACAGCAATAGAGCTGCGCCTGCACCAATTCCAACTCGGCAGCTGGCAGGCCCTATACACCGACGCATGTGTTATCCCCGACAATGAGAGCCCGATACGACACCAACCGGATGACGCGGGTTTATGCGCAAGGGCGGAAGGTTTGATACGGAAAGGAAACATTTCCAAGGCGGTAGCAGCGTTACGAACTACACCGCTCGTAGAAGCAACGGCAGCAACTTTGACTGCCCTCCAAGCGAAACACCCCGCAGCCGAAACTTCGCTACCGGGTCTGGTTACAGGGTTCAACCGCTCGACCCTCAGCGTGTCAGCGGACGAACTTCGCGAAATCCTGAAGAAATGCCCGAACGGGGTTGGAGCAGGCCCATCTGGCACCTGCTTCGAACACCTCAAGGATCCGGCACTGGCAAACGGGGAGGTGCTTATTCTACTCGCTAAGGTAGTGACGTACCTGCTGAGCACGTTCCAAACACCAGCGACCCGCGATTTGCTGCTGCCTTCACGGTTGATCGCCCTAGAAAAGCCAGGAGGAGGAGTCCGGCCTATTGCGATAGGGGAGGCTATTCTTCGAGTCGTAGCTAAGGCAGCATTGTGTGGCTTAACCGAGAACATTAAGGAGTTTTTCCTACCAGTCCAGTTTGGGGTAGCGATACCGGGAGGCGCAGAGTGTATCGTCCACTCCGTCAGATCGCTACTAAGGGACGACGACACACGAGTAGCGCTACAGCTGGACATAGAAAACGCCTTCAACAGTGTCGAACGGGCGGCTTTCTTCAACGCTCTCTCCCAGTCCAGTTTGCTGCAGCTCATGCCCCTGGCCCGAACTCTCTACGGGGCACCGTCGTCACTCTTGGTCGACGAACGTTTAGGAGTGAACCATATCCTCTCGTCACGCGGGGTGCGTCAAGGGGACCCGCTCGGTCCACTACTCTTCGCGGCAGCAATTCAACCATGCCTGCTAAGCACGGCGACCTTCTTACCGGGAGTCGCGATAGTGGCCTACGCCGACGACATAACGATAGTGGGGCCGAAGGAGGCCTGCTATGAGGCCTTTGGGGCCATTACCAGGGAGCTGGCAACGCTCGGCCTCCGTTGCAACATCGCAAAATCGTCGGCATGGGGACAATCGCTCGCGGATGACGGCGGCACGCCACCTCCCATCGGCTTGCAGCAGATCACAGATGGGATCCGGGTTCTAGGCAGCCCAGTCGGCTTGCCTGCCTTCTGCACCACTCAAGCACAAACACGGCTTGATGAGGCGTCGGCCCCGTTACCTCTGGTGGCGGAGCTCCACCCGCAGAGCGCAATGCTCATCCTCACGAGGAGCATATCCCGCCGAATCTCCTACTTTCTGCGGACGACACCGGCGGAAGTCCTGGGGAGAGAGGGGTGGAGGGGCTGGAGTGAGACCCTGATGGCAACGGCACTAGCAGCAACGAAGCTTCGAGTACCTTCAGACGAGCTGGAGAGTCTGTTGTGGCGCCAGGGGAGTCTGCCGGTCAGGTTGGGAGGCTTGGGGATTATTGACCCAGTCTCCGAGGCACCTGCGGCCTACATCGCCTCGGTCACGGCGGCACAGCAGTTGCTGTGCCAGATGAACCTGCCTGAGGCCTATCTCCTGAGCAGGGCAGTCGAGCTGCTGTGCCACGATTGGACCCCTGCCCCACCCGGCATCAACCCCCTGACAACTCTGGAAGCTGGGCTACCCATAGCTGCACGGGCGGCACTACACACTTACAGGGAGCAGCCGGCGGGACAGGGGAACCTTCAACTGACCCTGTCTCGCCACATCAATGAGACGAGGGCGGCGGAGCTGCTGGCTGACACAATAGAAGACCGCCCAGGGAAGGACCGTGGGCACGCAGTACGGCTCATCAGTTTGCAAGGGGTGGGCGCGGGGGACTGGCTCCATGCCGTCCCAACGAGATCTGACCTTACTTTTGCCCCTGGTCAGTTCTCGTTGGCACTTGGCTTTCGCCTCGGCATGGCTCTTCCAGTCACAGTCACCTGCCCGTGCAAGCGCGCCAACACTGCAATCACGGACACGAGCCTAGCAAACCACCTCTTGCGGTGTGGGTACGGGGGTCAGCTTCGTCTTGTTTACGTGGCCTCTCAGGCCAACACGGCTGATCTCTTCACCAAGGCACTTTAGCCTTGTGATCATCAGCGGTTCAGTACTGTTCTAGGCCTTGTCCCAAGTTGGCCTCACTTGCTCACTTCTTGAATTTGCTTGTATTGTGATCTCTATATATATACCTGCATGTTCACACTTGCTAGGTTGTGATCACTGTCTTGCTTGTTCTGCTTTGTATAACTCTGCGTGTGAACTGGCCTTGTGGCCGCTTTCTTGTGCTCGGAATGTATGGTGACGTCGTGATCCACCCTGAGCTTGCTTTGCTCTTCTTGACTGGTCTTGTGACCTCTTGTTCTTCCCCACTTTGCCTATGGGGGTGTGTCAAACTTATATGCTATTGTCTGTGTAGGTTGTAGTGGGGTAGATAGTATGGGGTACAACACTTTTAGGTTCACTACTTGTACCCACCTGTTTCCTAGTCCATTTCATTGCTTCATACTATTCTCACATCAACTAGTTAAAAAAAAAAAAAAAAAAAAAAAAAAAAAAAAAAAAAAAAAAAAAAAAAAAAAAAAAAAAAACGTGAATGGTCATAGATGAAACTCCCGCCAGAACAAAATAAAACCCAAAAAAACCTGGATGCATTTTCGAATGTACAACCCTAAACATGTAACTCGCCAGGTGTTTATGTGAGAATCTGAGGAAGGAATGATTTAATTGAGCAGCATGAGGAGTACAAGTGTTGCACCCCATATTGACTACCCCACTACAGCCTAAACAAACTATAGCATATAAGTTCGACACACCCCCATAGGCAAAGTGGGGGAGAACAAGGGGTCACAAGACCAGTCAAGAGAAGCAAGGCAAGTCCAGGGTGGATCACAACGTCACCACACAATCTGAGCACAAGCACATGGCCACAAGGCCAGTTCACATGCAGAGTTATATATCAAGAAGAACAAGCAAGGCAGTGATCTCAACCTAGCAAAGGTAAGCATGCAAGTGCAGGTATATATAGATCACAGTACAAACTAAGTCAAGAGGTGAGCAAGTGAGGCCAAGTAGGCACAAGACCTAGCAAAGTACAAAAGCGCTGATGATCACAAGGCGGAAGTGCCTTGGTAAAGATATCAGCAGTGTTGGCCTCAGAGGCCACGTAAGCAAGGCGCAGCTGACCGCGCTGCTGCAGCTCACGAGCAAGGAAGTAGCGAAGAGCAATGTGCTTCGTTCTGTGCTCCAGTCTGTGCTCCCGACACAAGGCCATCATGGCCTTGTTGTCTACGTACAGAACTGGAGGAGAACAAGGCGGCTCTCCTAGGTCAGTCAGCAGGTAGGTGAGCCAGCGTAGCTCCTGTGCAGCCATGTCCCCTTCGTAGATCTCGGCCTCACAGCTGGAGCTGAGAACAGAAGACGAGCAGGTAGACCACCACGAGACAGAGCCGGAACCAAGGCTGAAGGTGTAACCCTGTGACGACCGCTGCGTAGCCTGGTCGTCAGCCCAAGAAGCGTCTGCGTGACCTGTGAGGACCACTGGACGTCGCCCTCCAAGCACTAGCCCCATGCCCGACGTACTGCACAAGTAGCGCAACACCCTCTTCGCTGCAGCCATGTTCTCTGGTCGGTGTCTCCCAGGAGACACATTGCGTGCCAAGATGCTAAGAGGGTATGCTAGGTCAGGTCGTGTGCAGGTCATCAAGTACATGAGGCAGCCAACAAGCTCTGGGTACGGGCCACTCGGCTCTACGGACTCATCCGAAGGCAGAGCTGAGAGCGAGTGGCGAGTAGACAGAGGAGTGGCCTGAGGCGAGGAGTACGTGAAGTCGAAGCGCTGAAGGACCTGCTGCACCATGTGTGACTGAGTCAGGGTAATGGTGCGCTGTGCTCTGTCCCGGGTGATCTGCAAGCCAAGGTAGCTGCGCAGTTCACCCAGGTCTGTGCACGTGTGTCTTTTCTGCAGCTCGGACTTCACGTGGGCGAGTCCAGCAGTGTCAGTAGTGGCAAAGACCAAGTCGTCGACGTACACGAGGATGTAGAACGGCGGCAAAGAGGTGTCGGTGCGTAGAAACAGCGACGGGTCGGCAGTAGAAGGAGCAAACCCAAGAGCCGCAAGTGTAGTCCTCAGTGTGTCGTGCCACTCACGGGGCGCCTGGCGGAGACCGTAGACTGGCCGTCGGAGGCTCCACTAGGTACTAGGAGGAAACGGCCCAGTGAAGCCTGATGGGTGGCGCAGCCAGATCTCCTCGTGCAGGCTGCCCTGCAGGAAAGCTGTGCTGAAGTCAAGAGAGTGAAGCTCGTAGTCGCGCTGAGCAGCTATGTGCAGTA